TTGTCTGCGTATTCGTTCTTGTAGCATTCCACGTCGAGACGGAGCACAATGGTGTTGAAGTCGCAGGGGCCGTCTTCCTCCTCGGTACCGTCTTCGGACGCCTTCTTATACCAGTGCATCCAGTTGATACCCTCGACAGAACCCTTGAGCGGGATCAGGCCCAGTCGTTGTGCGAGCACTTCGTCTTGAATGACTGAAGTGTTGTTGTGAATGAAGCAGTCTTCAATGGCGATGGTGGGGATTTCGGCCATAAGAATACGACGGAAAGCGTTGGCGACTGAGGCGTCGAGACCGATCAGCGAGAAGGAAGCCTCGAACCGGTCATTGCGATGGAATTCGACTTGGAAATTCTGTTGGAGTAAATGGTCAGGATTTACTAAATCCAGTAGAGTATACCTTCCTAACTATGTTCCAATACATACCTCCTTGAATTCATCGAGTGCCCACCCATGCGACTCTCCGGGCCAGTGACCAGGAAAATCTGTAGAGGGGATGTTGGTGACGGTTTCCGCATTGATGCCGATGATCTGGGACGATTAGTATTCTGAGCTGCGTGGAATCATTGTTGGAGACATACACGGCGGCGCTGCAGCTCCTCCTGCGAGGGAACAAGAGGCGCCATGGTGAGCAACTGTAGAGGGTCTGGTGAAGGTTGATGGTAAAATCCGCGATCACCGATAAGAGAGATTTCTCGAAGTAATTTTCTAGTTCGCCTGAGGCAGAAACGAGGCCTTTCTTATGCGCAAATAATGATATATTATGTAATCCATAATCGCAAGATTATGTGAGCAATGCATGGCACTAAACCAAAGAAAGGCTAGTGTGGAGCCCTTACCCACACAGTATAGTGGCCCCTTCAGGCCAACCAGCGCACGGCTGATGACCCGGCGGCTTTTCACGTGACGAGCCAAAATGCGACTCCCAGGTTGAGACCTTCAGTGAGTTCCCTACCCCGTAGCGAGCCATATCCACCCATTGAATGCGCCTGGATTGAGGATCATCTCCCCTCTTTTCCCTCTTGGACCTCCACTTCTATCCTCCATGGCCGCTTCTCTCGCCCGCCTAGCGGGCAATGCGCCCAAAAGGCTCTGCCTCCGCCCCTCCTCGCTCAACACATCCATTCCTCGTTCCCGCTCGATAGCCACCTCTGTTCCTCGCCGCCACGCAGAGGCTGCTAGCTACCAGGCCACACGACTTGTGCCGACCGACCCGACCTTCACCTCCGTCGCCAACAAGGGTGCTCCCGAGCACCCCGATGCTGCTGGCCTTGAATCCAAGGCCGAAGGGATCGACCGCAAGATCCGTCATTATACCGTCAACTTCGGTCCTCAGCATCCCGCTGCTCACGGTGTGCTCCGATTGATTCTGGAACTCAATGGCGAAGAGATCATTCGCTCCGATCCCCACGTCGGTTTGCTGCACCGTGGTACCGAGAAGTTGATTGAGTACAAAACCTATATGCAGGCTCTGCCTTACTTTGACCGATTGGACTATGTCTCCATGATGACGAATGAGCAGTGCTTCTCCTTGGCCGTTGAGAAGCTGTTGAACGTCGAGATCCCCGAGCGTGCCAAGTGGATCCGTACCTTGTTCGGCGAGATGACCCGAGTCCTAAACCACCTTATGTCCGTCCTGTCCCACGCAATGGACGTTGGTGCCCTGACTCCTTTCCTGTGGGGTTTCGAGGAGCGTGAGAAGCTTATGGTGAGTAGTTTTCAGCTGCAAAGCCTCTGCGGCCAGGTCTTATTTACTGACGCCTCGGGTGCTTTAGGAATTCTACGAGCGTGTGTCCGGTGCCCGTCTCCACGCTGCCTACGTTCGCCCCGGTGGTGTGTCGCAGGATCTCCCCCTTGGTCTTTTGGACGACATCTACCAGTGGGCCACTCAGTTCGGTGACCGCATTGACGAAACCGAGGAGCTGCTTACGGATAACCGTATCTGGAAGGCCAGAACCCAGGGTGTCGGTGTTGTCAACGCTACCGATGCGCTTAACATGAGTTTCACCGGTGTCATGCTCCGTGGATCAGGTGTTCCTTATGATATCCGCAAGTCGCAGCCGTACGATGCCTATGACCAGGTCGAGTTTGATGTTCCCGTCGGTGTCAACGGTGACTGCTACGACCGTTACCTCTGCCGTATGGAGGAGTTCCGCCAGTCCCTCCGTATCATCCACCAGTGCCTGAACAAGATGCCCGCCGGTCCGGTCCGCGTGGAGGACTATAAGATCTCACCCCCTCCCCGTGCTGCCATGAAGGAGAACATGGAGGCTCTCATTCACCACTTCCTTCTTTTCACCAAGGGCTACTGTGTGCCTCCTGGTGAGACTTACTCAGCCATTGAGGCCCCCAAGGGTGAGATGGCTGTCTTCCTGGTCAGTGATGGCAGTGAGCGGCCATACCGCTGCAAGATTCGTGCTCCTGGTTTCGCCCACTTGGGTGGTTTCGATCAGGTGTCTCGTGGTCACTTGCTTGCCGATGCTGTCGCAATTATCGGTAAGTCTTTTATTCTGTTGTCTTTTATTCCAGTCTAACATTGAATTCCTTCTAGGTACTATGGATCTTGTGTTCGGTGAGGTTGACCGGTAAACGGTATTGGCAACGCAATAATAAAAAAGAAAAACCAAACCCAAAGAAAACCTTTCCATGGCATCCTCTTAGATGGTTAGATTCGCCTGTGCCAGGGGAAAAATCAGAGAAGAGGAACCACCTATTTTCCTCAATGTGATCTGTAAACCCCGGAACTTCCGACGCTGGCTTGGGTGTACTAAATGCTCTATGTTTTCTTCCCATGGCGTTGTGCTATTATGTCTTGTCCTTCTCCTTTGTGTGCCTGTTTTTTTTACCTCTACTGCTTCAAACAAGCCCTGTGTATAGTGAACGTCTGATTCTTCTTCCGTGAGCTGTTTCTTTTATATCATCCATGAATCCAGTATAAGTCTAAGCCTGGTTCCTACAATACCAGGCACCTACCTGCATACATCTATATGTTACATAGTCTATCTAGGCATATCTGCATATGTGTTTATCATCACGTTACCATTTACATTAAGCGAGCCTATGTCGTTGTTTGCCTCATTTGTGAATAGTGGCATAAACCGACCGCCCGTAGGATACCTATAAGAAGGTGGCCCTGCCCCCAGAACTTCTTCTTCTTCTCTTTCTTCTTCAGCTCTCTTTGCCTCTGGCTTAGATCATGTGTAGTATCTGTTCTTACCAGTTTAATCTCTGGTAGTTCTGCATTGCAGAACGTCATGATTATTCTAATATTTGGACCTCGCGACTTGGCCTCTGTGCTTGCACACGCCTCGTTGCACAGTGTCACTGGGCTTACACTACCCCCGGTCGACGCGAACTCCTTTTCATCAACTGTTCGGCTTGTCCGGGCGCTTGGAGAAGATGACATGTTTGTTTAGAATCTTATTTCAGTCACGAGGTTCTTAGTATATTGTATTGACTTCCACCTTCTTTTGGTTTCCTAAGCAATAATAAACAGGCTTCTACCAACAAGTTACCACTCCCTCTGATTATTAGACCGTCTGCCGCTAGAAATGACCACAAAAGTGAAGCACCTAGACTTTTCATTTGCTAGCTTAATAAAATCCTTAATCCATGCCATACATAAAGACATTTGAGGTACAAATAGTATTCATAGACTCAGAATTTGCGACTATGACAGCCTACTTGTTACCCCCGCATTAGGGCCGGCTTTGTGACGATCTCCAAATTGGCTATATGAGATAAAAGACTCAATGATTCTTTATTATCTTGAAAACAAAGTGAAATCTTTCTGAAATATTATAATTAGTAAATCAGATATCTCTCAGTCAATCAGTTATCCCAGGTGGTTCGGAGGTTCTGCATCCAATACCGATATGGCTCAGTCCGGCCTACAACAAACTAGAAAGAAGAAACAAGAACAACATTCCCACCTCCCCACCAGCTCTTGGCCTATCAACAGGAATATCGGGGCTTATTGGGGCAGTCCTCGGCAGCTCCTAGGATATAAGCAATATCCGTATGCTGCCACCTCATCTTCGTCGCACTTACCTCCACATCTTCGATGCGTGGATGAAACGCCAAGAGGGATGGAATGCCTTTGGACAGGGATTGTGGCCGAATACTTTCGCTGTGGTATGATGACCAGCTGTCAGCTTGCATCATATGATACTTTTAGGGATACAACAGTGACAACCACTGGGATTTATAACGATCACCCGGCTCGCATTTATCGGCGTCGTTCTTGGTGACCCTAGTTGCTACAACACTGTGCAGTCCGATTGCTGTAATCAAGACAAGTTGATAGGGGTTTCAAGAAAGCAAGGGATATCGCATGTGATTAAGGGTCTTACAATCACGGAGGGAATGAGATGAGTCTTTCGAGGATGAACGCCTAGTTCTGTTAGGCTGGGGCCATATGGCAACGTTGATTGTTTGGAGCAGCACGGGCAGTTATTTAGGTATTTCAAAGAAAAGACAGATTCTACTCCAAGTCAGCCATTTCATATGTATTCTGTTGGGCTGTGAATGACCGGGGATTTTCTGAGAGGCTCATCGTTAGAACAAAACATCAAGAACGGTGGAAGCCTCTGGACGTTGGAGCCTTGAGTCGCCGCAGGACGATTCCCCAAGGCAGTTGCCGTAGGAGATGGTTCGTTTACTTTTCAGACAAATTACTATTTATCAGGCTCATCTTCCTACAACTCAGCTTTGCTTTACCATCCACCACATCCAAGCTATTCATCCACTTGGCCGAGCTGCCAATTAGACCACTATCATCATTCCTATCTTTTATGAAACCTATCCATTTGCTGCTATATTTACCATATCTTTCGATATCCCCCTCAAAATCGTGTCATCTGTCTCGAGATCGATCGCGATCTGATCTGGTTGATGAAGTACACGCTGGAACATGCTGGACCAACGATTCAAGATGCTAAACTCTCTAGTCAGCACTTTTCCAAGACATAAGAAGCGATTGAAACTTGCCTTGCAAGTTCAACAATGGAGACCCCACCAGACCACCAGTCTGAGCAACCAACTCCCGCTTCCACGTTGTCTCTACTCTTCACGCTACCCCTCGAGCTACGTTTGGAAATTTTTGGCTTCTGCGTGCCCCGGAAATGCGCCATCAGAGTGACAAGCGCAATGTATCGGCCCTATGGTGTTGAACCTGTGGTTTCTACGCGCGACACGTCCATCGAAGACGACAAGTTCCTCAACACCAGTCCTCACTGGACTGGCATTTTACATGTTTCCAAACAAATGAGCGCCGAATGCTTGGACATACTTTATGGCGACAACTTGTTCGAAGTCTACCTGCACGGAAAATGCGAAGATACAATCAAGAGAGTATTCAGCCATGAGAATATCCAGCGAATCCAATTCATCCTCGCCGTCGCCCCTGGCCCATCTTTTAGCGGGGAACTTAACCCACCCGACGTTCCTTTCTGGGCCATGATGATCCCGAACCTGAAGTTGTTTGAATGGGTGACCCAGCCAGACAAGGAAGTGGAGCAGCAAACGAGCGATCTCGTGATGATGCAAGGATTAGGGGACTGGATGGAGTGGACGGACGCCTACTTGAACTGCTTCAGTGAGTTCCTGGCTGACGGAATCGAGTTCAGAATGAAACTTGACAAGGGAGAGGATGAATACAGGCAGATTGGAAGGCTTTATTTCAAGCGAGGGCCTTTCTTCAAGAAGGATGAACAGCAGGAAGAAGTTGGTTAGAGCCATGATGAGGATTCAAGAGACATTCCACGACAATCAATGTTAGATTAGTTCCATCTTTCCAATACGAAGTCTCGAACTATGCTACGAGGTATCCAGGTCCTTTCTTATATCTAGCAGTACTTGGTGGTGAGTATCCAAAACCCACATGTATGTCTTTGGCGGGATCCTTCATGCCCTAGGCCCTACCGTAACTTGTCGTAGGATCGCAATAATAGAAATCTTGAAAGGAGAAGAACTGCATACTTGTTTGTTATAATCTGTCAATTTCCATCAAAGCTGTCAAGAGGCTCAAGCTAAGGTAACTGCCTCAGGAATTTGCAGGTGACATCCTTCTATCTGCCGGCCTCTTCCTACCTCTCTCCATCTCTCTCTCTCCCTGTAATCTATATCCTCATTATTATCTCATCTCTGTTTTCCTCATCCCCTTTCTACACCGTGAAGGAACCTTTGTGTTTATCAAGTATCAGCCTCACTCTCTGGATACTCTTGTATCCAGATAAAAGCAGCATGGCCCGTCAAAGATCCCGTCGAAGACTGCGAGGACATCGAGGACGGGGAAGAGGGGGAGGGGGATGGGAAGGACGGGGAAGAAGACATCTAGCCCTCCCTCCAGTGTCAACCATCCCTCCAGGGCCAATTAATCTACATCAACATACTGCCTGCAATCTATGCAATGAGAATATTTACAGCTTTTCGACCACTGATATTGCTGAGCTCATATATCGCAACTCACCGAAAGACGCTGACGGTTTCTCGAATGGTCCATGGATCCACGGAAGATCAACAGATATGGACGACGTACACTTCGATGAGATGTGGACATGGTCTTGCATGCTCCGAGCTTGTAAGTGTTTCTCTAACATCCTGGGTTGAACGATTTGTTCTAACTTTGAGCGTTGTGCTAGTGTTCTTTACGATGTACGACGATGTATCCTCATTCCATCTCTCTGGTGTTGGCGAGCTTCAGCCGACGCATCAAATAAGCCTCCCACATAATGAGAACGACATGATTTTGTGCAATCACCAAAGCGATGGTCAACACGCCTTTCCAAATCCGAACTTCGTCTCGGAGCTAACATATTCAGTAGCATTTCCTATGCACGAACGATGCTGGAAGCTCATGACTCGAATGCTCGACGTCGACTTGATCAAGAAGAATATGGATATCTTCCTCCACGCAATGTGTGATCCATACGATGTCACAAGGCCATTGCTTGATCCAACAGGTACATACCCTCTGTGGCTAGAATGGTTCAAGTTATTGGACAATTTAACATCAGGCTTGTATCTAAATCCTCAGAAATTTCGTGCCAAGGATGATGCGCGTCCAAGTCATATGCCTCCTGAGTTTCGCGGCGCAGATCCTTTGAATGACCCCTGCTTGAACGACGTGATCACCAAATACACAACCGAGTACACCATGCAGAGGAAGATGGGATTTGAGCCAAGATCACAACCCTCCATACCCACACATCCAATGTCCCGACGATCCCAAGCTAGGTTCAAGACCAGGAATGTGTTTCTTCCGACAGAACTCATCTTGAATATCGCAGATCATCTGGACAATCACGAGGACATCCACGCCCTGCTTTTAGTGTTTCCGAATTGGCATCCAATGATCCCGAACAGCTACTGGAGACGTCGATTCATTGAGGACAACTGTCTACGCAGTGATGAATTCCCAGCAGTGGATGCTATGGATTGGCAACGTGTCTATCTTAGTGGTGACAAGCTTCTACGACTCTCGTTGGGGTGGCAGAACAGGCAGTATATCTTGAGTCGACTCGACAGGATAAAAGACCGATTCCTAGAGCGACTGGAGCGGAAGGATGTTGAAATTTGAGACATACTTGAGGGCGGAAGAGCTTGCAACAACCGACACAACTTTTACTGGTCACGGGAGTATCCTTGGCAGGGTTGGGTTTCTGTTTCATCCTTCCTTTGATCGATTGAACGAATTGAACTATCGTGTGCTTTTCGTCTAATTTGTACTCCGTATCTTGATAACAACCCTAGAACGGTATGGTAGTAGCTCATGCGACGTCTGAGGAAACAATGTGGCGTGTGATGTACGGAGTAGCCTGCTTCTCTTGTGGCGCAGTGCATGCAGATCCCTATTCCCAACAAGCTGTCGTGGTTCATCGTACGTTGTACATCTGTCAGCCTCTGATTCGGGGATTAAAGCGCCTGTTAAATTCTCGACAAGCTCTTTGCCTTCGCCTGAATCCCCAGCTCGACTCCAACAGCCTCTGCAGTGTGGCGTATTGATCGCTGCATGAAGCACCCTAGCTGGCAATGAAAATAGATTTTGCAAAGCTCGAGCGTACATTGAAGAGGCGTCATATTGTATTGGTCCTTAGCTCCGAGTCTCAATTGTATGTTCACCTAGAGCTTTCAGTACTTCCACATAGGTATTCAGCGCCGATCCCTCGATATTATGCTATCGCTAGATATATATATCGTGTACAACCTGTGGACGTAAACATCGTCTAGATTTCTAAGGATGCCGCACCATCTAGCTGCCTCGGTAGATCCGGATATCGTACTCTTTTGAAGAATATAGGTTGTTGAATATAAGAATAATCTCGAGAATTAAACAAGTCGGCGTCTGGATCTGGCTTTATTGCGTGGTGCCCACGTGGCCAATGGGATCATTCTAGTTCGATTATGTAATTGTTGTACTTGCACCTGGGGACCTCCACTGGGTGAGATCGCGTCTCTGGGCGTCTTTTTTCAGCACTCCAACTTTCATTCCTTTGTTTATCCCGTATAAGATTTGGTTTGCAGTGAATATTCAGGATTCGATCATTATCACAATCACTTCTGCTTCTACCCTCTCCCTCCCACCAATTGCAGCCTACCTATCCCCGATCGCAAAATGGCCACCGACTACAGCAAGAAGACCAACGCCGAGTTGGTCGAGATCCTTAAGACTCGTTCTCTCCCACACACTGGAAAGAAGGCCGACATGGTTTCGCGCCTCCAGGAAGATGATGAGAGCAAGCCATCCGACGCTCCTGCCGCAGCTCCTGCCGCAGCCAAGACTGACGCGCCCGAGGACGTCATTGACTGGGACGACGAACCTGCAGAGACGGTTATCGAGCCATCCACAGAAACCGGCGCAGCTGCGATTGCCGCTGGTGGCCAGGGCGCAGTTTCCAACCCCGTTGCTGTCCCCAACCAGCAGCTCGACGAAAATCCCGCTACCACCGACGACTTGAAGGTCGAGGCGACCGGCGCCGTTGCTGAACCAGCCACTCAGCCCGAAGCCACGGTCGAACAGAAGCCTGCCGTCGATTACACACGAGGACTGCCCCAGACCGATTTGGAGGCAGAGCTGGAGAAGCGCAAGGCTCGCGCGCAGAAGTTTGGCATTGTTGAGGATGACGACACAGCATTGAAGGAGGCTACAAAGCAGCTGGAACGCGCTAAGCGGTTCGGTACGGGTGCCGAAGCTGATACTACTCCAGCTGCGGGTTTAAGCCGTCTCGACCAGGCACTTCCTGATGAGCGCTCCCGCAAGAGACGTAACGAAAACCGCAGCGACAACCGCAACGAGCAGGGTGGCCGTGGGGGAAAGAGACGTGATACTGGACGCAACCGAAATCGTCAACGTGGGGATGGAAACCGCAACCGCGACCGTGGCGACCGCGGTGACCGCGCTGACCGCGCTGATGGTGGTAACAGGACCAATGCCGGCGTAAAGAAGCCTAATGCCGGTGCGAACACTGCGCAGAAGTCATGGAGTGAGAAGGATAATGCGGCCATGGAGGCTCGCAAGAAGCGATTTGCAGCAGCTGCTTGAATGTTTCCAATATTTGCTTTGTCTGGTCTTTGACTTGGGCTTCGGTCCCATCTGTTCTTTCATCATCGGCGTTTGTGTGTTGATAAGCTACCGGGCAATTTCAGGGTCAATCATTCCATTCTATTTGTTTTAATATATTTGGATCTCAAAATGAAAATGTACAAGTGTGGGTTTTCTGGTTTGTAGAGCGAAAGTAGCCATGTCCGTATGAAGGCGATTCACGTGTATGGAGAATTCTCAACTTCTGAATTCTCAACCTCTCCATTCCCACATCCAAGCACTGACCTCGGAGAAAACTCAATCTTAACTTTTCTTGCCGCCAGGAATAATTCCCCGGAGACTACTCCGTACTTCGTACAAATTCCCGGTGACTGTGCGAAGTCAGCTGAAGGGTGCATTAGTCGCTTGTTCCTGCAGCATGGCTATGGCCAGTCATTAGACGAGGATGGACCAGACCGTGATTGTGGGACATCAAATGCATCAGGTATGGAGTATTCGGTACATCATACAATATCACATTTGCAATATACAACACACACTGGTCAATGCCATTTCAGACTCATTTCTCGTTCGTGATCATTCGCTGTTCTTATTGCCCAAGTTAACGCCCTCCCCACTTGGATCAGTGTCCTCCCCGCGAATGACAACCGACAGCTGGCCTTTTTTTAGACAGTGGCTTGGAGCTAACATTTGATTTTCGTCCAGGGCTTGTTCATTGCTCCATGATACAGTGGGCCATCACAGCCCAGTGACTAGCGGGCTCCACAGTCTCGAGGCTCCACGGCTCGAGTATCGAACCCGGTCTATAGACGAAATTGTCTCTCTACGGACAGTCACTGGCTCTTCGAGTTGTACAAGTCTAGACGCTAGACCCAACTTTAAGTCTCTTCGCTTGCTTTCATCCTTGAACCTTGGAATGGTCCCCGAAAGGTTCGGGACGGGCCTCTGTACCAAACTATTGATATCTACGGCCGTTGGAAAGGTATGTCTCAGAGTAATATACGATATCAGACATATCGGATCGGGAATATATAAGACTGTTTCGGAAAATATGAAGCATTTTAGGGTCACCCTTACGTCTATCCGCATATGCATGGTCCCTTGAAACCACGTTGGGAAATTCTCCGAATAGCGGGAAAGGCTGGAGTTGCAAACCGCCAAAATTAAAAAGAACGAAAATCAAAATCACCGCGTCGATCATTTCATTATTTAGGATTGACTTGTTCGGCGTCTCCGAATGTGCTGTGGAGGAGGCGAGGGAGACGCGATAAAGCCTGGTCAATACGGGGTTGTCCGCTAGATCCATGTGCAGTTCCGACTGTGCAGATACTCAGCTTGAGTCTATCAGCTGATCTGACATCGCGAACGAGTCACGGTTTGTAGGGTTTTTTTTCTTAACGCTCAAGCCATGCATGACGAAAAGCCCATACGCCACGGATTGTACCACTGCCCTGTCACGTTGTGTCTAGCCCGGTACCCTGTTTGCCGCCGCGAGCCCATACCGTCTAAGCAAAGCAGCCAACGACAAGTCCCTGCTAGGGGAGAACCCTCGAGTGGACCGGTCTTTACCTCATGTGGGCTTCCGTGCGCGCAATCTTCTTGATCCGGCCACTGGGGGATCGCCCCGGTTATTTGTAGAACTTCCTTTTGACTTTGCGATGGGGACCGTCGTCGCTTCAGAAGCACCACCTTTCGCAACGTGCTAGTCCTTCTGACAGGCTCCAGGTCTTCGCAGTCTTGACTTCTTCCCGTCTTATCACAGTAGTCACATTACTTTCGTACCAATGAGATCCCTACGCTCTTACTACATACATGGGCATTCCGGTTTCAAGGCTTTTTCCCCCACATTGGAGCGGCAACCCCAGTCACATAAATCTCCGGCATCTCGGAAATTCCTGTCTTGAATCTTTTGACATTTATTTTTACATGCTTCAGTCGGATTTTATCTCTGACGTGGCCAGCGCTGGTGAACAACCCTGAAATCGAACGCCACATTGCTGCAGACTGTGGCGAAGCAGCTGCAGCTTTAAGGCTTCGATCCACAGTGGACTTTTCTCGTTTATCTACTGACGTCTGTGAGTCCATGTGGTTTTCTTTTTATGATTCTTGACATCCTTGTAATATCTATTGACACTTGATTTTTAGTTGTGCGACTTTGAGATACCCTTTTCCTTTTTTTTACGAATTTCTTCTATTTTTTATTTAATTCTATACCCCCACTGTCGAGCGCCAGGCGCCCATCAATATTGATATTTTCGTTTGACGTGACTCAGATGCCGTGAGCTTATACGTTGAATTTGACGAAATTGAAGAGAGCTGATTAAATCAGACAGCAATATACCCCTATAACGGCGTGATGGTTACTATAACGAAGTACATGTACTCACCGTTTAATCATTTGTCCTTGGATTGGAGCCGGGAACTTCACTCATCTGTACGCCATGTCGTACAGTTCTGCCCATCACATGCCACACAATCCTTCTTCTTCAAACTTATCGCGTCCCAATGCTGGTGCCTATGGCCGACCTCCGAGATCTCAAATTGCGAGACCAGCCAATCACACCCCTAGGAGCAGAAGCTCGTCATTCTCGGATGCTGAAGGTATTGGCCCAGTACCAGCGCCGTCGGCTATCAAGCGATCTACTAGTCGTGGAAATCGCCTGTCCATGCTTCCACGCCCCAGCATTGGTAGCACAACATCTCCAAATACGCCAGTGTCTGCTTCCTCTTCTCCGAATCCCACCCAGCCGATTCACTCGACGCTTTCGAGCCCGGAGATTAACAGAACATCGCTCTTCGTTGCTGGCCAACAATTGCCCCCGCCAAAACGAGCACGGAATGTTCTACGAAGGAGGGCACCGACAATAGGGAAACATGTGGAGCAATTGCACTCGGAGAAGCTTAGCCTTGTCATTCCGCAAGAGCCTCATTCTCTCGTTATGAACAATGTGTCAGGACACGGAAATTCGTCAACCTCACTTTTAGGGCAATCGACTTCCTCTTACAAACCGAACCACAAGAATGAGAGTAATCTGGCGATTAACTCGGTGGGGTCTAGGTTCAATGGTCCGGAAGAGTTGGCAAGCCTTCGAACGACCCTCGATACGCAAAACTTGCCCGCGCCTCCTACTCCCTTCTTACTGTCAAGTAGCCCCTCGACAAGATACTCGGAATCTCCCAGTATTTGGAGTCGGGGGTCTACCCCAACATCATTATCATCATATTCCCCCGGTATTACAAAGATTGGTCGTCTGAGACAACCGAGCACGTCGCAAACAAGATTGCCTGTCTTCTCTCCTTCACCGGCACGTGCAACCGCCCAGCAAGAAAGGCCGGAGCTCAAGACTCAAAAACGGGTACTTCCTACAAAGCCTTCTGGCGCAAGCTCAATCGGCACCGGCAATGGCCAGAGAGTACCATCGTCCAAATCTCCCTCTACAGTTCCCCGAGGCCCGCCCCGCAGTCCGCCGCCAAGAAAGTCATCCGTCAATTTCAGCCCTCCAAAAGCTCCGGATATCGACGTTGAACAGGCTCGGAAGGAAGTGGAGGAAGCCGAGAGGCGTTTGTTTGACCCACAAGGGATTATGGAATACTCCCCCTCACGGAATGCGGAGATACCACAAACTCCACCACGACCGAGCAGAGATGGAACGCATCGCTTAGAACTTGAAACATCGCCGATTGTTCAAAGCAACCTACGGTATCTTAGAACAACGGGCCACACAAGACGCGAGTCGATCGAAAAGATTATGGCGACCCAACAGCCACACCCAGCTCCCAACCAGTCTGCCGTTGCATCGATAGACTCGCTGCAATCAAGAAGCATCTCTCAAGTCCCTTCTCGGGAAGGCGGATCTCCCGTACTATCGAAAAAGACACCTCGGACACTGACCAAGGAGATGCCCAAAGAGAAGCCGGATTCAAAGCAAATTCCAACTCAAAAACGGTTCGGTCTGTTCACAAAGAAGTCCAAGCCGGATATGTCAGAGAATTTGGCGGAGCAAGGTCGAGCTACTACTCGCAAAGGTCCAGCTGCGGGGACAGGTCATGAGGGCTACGGAAAGTATGGACAGCGCGGCCGCAAAGCAAGCGGTAGTAGCAGCAGCGGGACAAGAACCAGATCAACAAGCACGACACGGAGTGCCGCCAGCAAAGGGAGTCAGTCGAGTCGCCCGGAGTTGGAAATCGACGACTTTCTAATGAGCCGCCTGGAGCCCGTCATTATTAACGGTGGTGGACTAGACGGCTCATCGTTGTCACGAACACAAAGCGAGCAGAGCTTCAGCAGCATAAGCGTTGCGTCCACTTCGAACTTGCCGCGGCAAACTCTGCTGTCATACTCGACTAGCCAGTCTACCGAATCCCTCGCGACTTCGGGGGCATTTGGTGAGACCATTACGCCAAGTTATTCTAATGGCGCCAGATCAATGGGAAGTAGGGGCTCCGAATCCCAATCTAACGCGAGTGATCGTTCAAACGCATCAAGGTCACGCATGCCCGTTCCAAGAGGAAAGAGACATGGCATGTTTGAGAACCCCCAGGCTGCTATCACAAACACGTCGCTCCCTAGCCATGAGTCAAGCAGTGCCACCTCACAGCAACCGAAGCGTACGCAAACGCCCGCTGAACAAATCCCTAAGCCCGAGCAGGTTGAGAAGCAACACTCCAAAAAAGGAAAGACATCCGTGTGGAACTTCTTCCAGAAGAACCGTGCCAACGAACAGAAGGACTCAATTCCTCCAGCGACCTCATCCCAAACCGCGAGACTTCATGCGGCAATCTCCCCTGTTCTCAACCGTCGGCCCGTGGCCCATTACGCCTTGGTGGATGCTGATTCAGACGAGCTCGAGGAAATCATCAACAACATCGAAGACTCACCACCAACAGAGGAGGAAAAGGTTTTCCAGCCCGTGGAAATCCCAAGAGGCTTGAGCATCAGAAAAAGAAAGCCGTCAATTTTATTGCCATCTCCGCCAAAGATGCACGGTGAGTTTCAAAATGATGATCGCCCATCACCGAGGACTGCCATGTTCAATCGCAACCTTATGGCCCCGGAGCCTGAAATACTACCTGAACAACGTCCGCGCTTGGCTTCTGTCGGTCGGATTCCACAGGTAGTTTCGCGGCGCGATAGAAATCACCAACCCGCCATGCAGTCATTCTCGCGTCCGTTCAGTGTTGCCGAATCGGCTTCCCTCACGGTTCCAACGACAGAAAGCTCATACCAATCTCCACTTGTCGCCAATGTTCCATTGAATTTGGGGATTGGTCCAAGCGAATCTTCAGACTGGGGCCATGGGTTCAACCCGACTTTTAGCGCTTCCGAGGAGACTAGCGCTTTGGAATTCCTTGCTGGGCCATTCACAACCTATGAGTTTCTTCAATTTCCGCCGAAGAAAGGCTCAACCTCGTCAGATAGCTCTGGAGCTCTGGCTGCAGTTACAGCCGTGCCCCCGATTCCAGGTTCTCCGCCGACCGATGACGAGGTGTGGAACGAGTATGATGATCTTATTGACCACGTTCTGTCGCCAGATCAACCGAAGCCCGAGGAGTCGGAAAAGACCGAAGAAGAGGACAGGTTTGAGCTTGCAACGATGGCAAGCAGGGCTCTTCAGGATGAATTGAGTAATGCCAATAATCCCCAATCAGTACCTAGTGGTAATTCAGTCCGCTCGAGTGGCAGCTCTGTTCATCTTCGTCGTTCTCAGATTGTCTCTGCTTTGCAATCTTCGACCGCTCCTTCGTCTCAACCGTCTTACAGTGATCTCGTTGCCGGACATAGAGGCTCAAATGAGGCGAAGACGCAACAGGCTGCCGCTCTTACCGAGAAGCCTTCTTCGACAGATCAGCGTCGTCAACAGCAGTCTACATTTCTTAACTCCCTCGCTGCCGTCCCTTCCCCCAGACCAAAGTTCCACCGAGAACAAGAAGCCGCATCTTCCGAGCGTGAGTGGGATGCAGTGACACGGACTAACATGCGTTCTGCTTCGCTCATGACTAGTCGCTGGCTGTCATTCGGTCGAGTTCTTTTCAGCCCGGCGCATAATCACGTCAAGGCCGGAGGACAAGGGCGAATTCTTGTGATTGATGGACTGGGAAATGATGACTGGTCCTTCTACTGTTCCTTGACGTACCCTGATGCCGAGGTATATAGCCTGGGTGGACGTCCTGTATCCGCGGCGCCTCCCCACCCCGCTGCATGGGAGCCTCCTACCAACCACCACATTGTGTATCACGCCGGACTGGACAACCCTCTCCCCTTCCCAAAGGACTATTTCACAGTCGCGGTACTACGATTTCCCGCTGTCTGCTCCGAGACAGTCCAAGGCAACATCATCCAAGAATGCAAACGTGTTCTCCGCACAGGAGGATATCTAGAAATGAGCCTCCTAGACCGCGACATGGTCAACATGGGACCTCACACGCGCAAAGCGATCCGCCAACTCAAAGAAATGACCTGCCTCTCAGACTCATCTCTCAGCCTGAAACCAACCAGCGACAGCGTACAACGCGAGCTCGGCGCGCAGGGCTTCGACAGTCTCCGTCGCTGCATGGTCCGAATTCCAGTCGCAGGAATGGTGCTCCGATCCTCCGACTCCAGTTCCTCAGCACACTCCATTTCAATGGCTCCCTCTTCCACTGCATTCTCGCTACCCACCATATCTGTCACAACTGCGGGTGATGGCCAAAGTACGAAAACTGCCTCGAGACCCCCCTCAAATGACGCGAATATCTCTCTCGGCGATTTGCTCTCCGATCCTTCCCCCTCGCCGGCAAATGACGAGTCAATCGCTAAGATCGTTGCCCGCGTCGGACGCTGGTGGTATTCGAAATGCTACGAGGATCCTATTGCCTCGATTGGAAATACCGGTCCGAGTATTTGGAATGACCGGAAGGTGCTTCGCGAGTGCCAGAAGCGTGGCACCGGGTTCCGTATGTTCATTGCGTACGCTCAGAAGCCCAGTCTGGTTCCGCGACGCACAGCAAGTGTGTAGTGGAACTACATATGTTTTTACTTTTTCTTCTTCTTCTTTTTCTTGATTCTCTTCTTCATTTTCATTTTCATTTCCTCTTCTGCTTGTTTTTTTTTCTTTTTTTTTTATGAGATCCATGATTGACTGATATTCTACGCTGAAAAATACCCATATATATGCCTTGACGAAATTTGATTTTTTTTGAGCGTTTTGAAGACATGGGCTTTGTGGCTTACGCTCAGGGCCTCATTTGTTTTGCTTCTATGTACTTGTTTTTTTTGGTTCGATATGGCGTGCATGATGCTATGACTGATATGTGCCATAGAGGAAGAGGAAGAGGTGAGGTGTGTGGGATTTCCATTGTACAAGCAGGACTTAATATGGATAATCAATTACCTTAATTATTTTCATCGTTTCATCGCCCTAGAACACTTCGACCCTGAGACCAGGTGAGTCCCCTTACGGGCAGACCCTGCTCGATTCGGTAGGCCTCGTTGAAGTATTCGCGTATAGTTTCTGTATAGGGGGAATTGAGCAGGTGGCCGAGTGTACTTCTCTAATCGGCTTAGGAAGTTGGGACTCGGGAGTGGTACGTAAGTGACGACCTATAAGAAGATCGCTAGGAAAATGTATAGCAGAACTAGCAAGAGGATGTATCCCGATCTGTGCAGTGTTGTTGATAGTGAAATTCGGGGCGATAGAAAGATGCATAGGAAGCGCGTAAGAAGATGACAAAATTCCAGAGGAACCGAATGACTGATCACCAAGCAACAAATTTGACAGGGACAGTGTTTATATGTAAGTTAGATCCGTGCTTTTCCTAATACTCCTAGAAGTAAGCCTAATTTTATGCTATGCGTGGGAGGGTTAGGAGTATAGTTGAAGAATGCTGGATAGTGTGTGAGAGAGAGCAGAAGTAGAGGGAGGGGGTATCCGGAAGATCACCTGACTGAGTATCACTTGCCAAATAGGGATTCATCATTCAATCTATCTTCCTGCGTCTAATAAATAAGTCTATACCCGAGTCAAATGAACCTTCAGCGGACCCTTTTCCCACATCAGGAAGTTCCTCTGTTTAATCCAATCAATGGCTTCATCGGCAATCTCCATATCAAAGTTGAAGATAATCAAGGCAAGGATTAGACGCATCTCGCTATATGCAAGACTAGTGACACCGTTAGTATCGCCTGTTACTTGCGGTCAACTAGGTCAATACTTACTTCCTTCCAAGGCAATTTCTCGGTCCAGTATGGAATGGTTGCAATACCTCTCGACGATCGTCTGCAAATGATGGATCACCCAGGAACCTCTCTGGGTGGTATGTGTTGGGGTCTTTGAAATACTCTTCGCGCCGGTAAAGTGCCCATTGATGAATGGAAACAAAAGTCTTCAAAACGCCGTCAGCAGACATCAATATGTAGTATTCACGCCAATGAGACTCACGTTTGCTGGAATATATTCGCCCAAAACTTCCGCACCGGCCTCAGGACATACACGGGGAAGACCGTTTGCAATGGGCGGATACATGCGCATTGCCTCGTCGAGACATGCAAGCATGTAGGGCAACATGTTAACAGAGATCAGGTTGATCTCTTCCTGGCTTTGGAACACAGTACGCACTTCCTCTTTCAACTTCTGATAGGCAGTGCGATTCGTGAGGAGGAGGTAAGTGACCCCGCTCAATAATGAAGCCGTGGTCTCGGAACCACCGATAATGAGGATTTCAGCATTTGCAACGAGTTCCTCAATGCTCAGGTTCTGACAATGGTCAGTTGCATTCTGAACGGAAATTAGTTAAATACTCACCAATTCCTCTCTCTTTCTTAGAAGTCCCTCAATCAAGTCGGGTCGACCCTCTTCCTTTTCAATCCGACGCATCATCTTCTGTTCGGTGAGTTGCTTATGTTTCTCGTGGGCCTCTTGCATTGAAGCAGGCACCATCGATAGTAGCGTCCGCTTCACAAGTGGATAGAAAGAGAGAGCTTGCAGGATAATTCCAAGCCGGCCGGCGTCGAAAATCCCCTTGATCCATCCGTCAAGGTTTGATCCCTGAAGACAGCCAAATGGCTCACCAAATGCCAGATCTCCAATGATATCGAAAGTAGTATAGTTATACCAATCAGAAAGAATCACCGGACTACCAGACTCGCAAAACTCATGTAATCGGTAAAGCAACATATCAGCATAACCACGAATCATTGGTTCCTGCTCTCGCATTGCCTTTTCAGAGAAACCGTGAGCCATTTGTCGGCGGAGACGTCCATGTTGCTCTCTGGTTTCGTTGACTACATGTGACGGTTGGTCCTCGACCGCATGGTAGAACCAATCTGCCTTTGAAAATTCAGTTTTCCCTTTATGATGGCCCATAATATCTTGCCAGGCATCGGGGTGGGAGAAGGCCAGCTCATCCGGAGCAATACGGACAATGTTACCGTATTGCTGATGCATTTCCAGCATGTCAAAGGGAAGGGTTCCCCGGATAGACCGGTAGACGTATGGCAGTCGTGATATTTTGTGTTCCAACGGCCCCGGAAACCGGCTCAAAGGGTGAAAATACACATTGTAGATCACTTTAGAGGCAAGATATAGTATAGCCTGGACGCATTAGAAAAGAAGTCAAAAGGCATCGCATGACATACCGTAAATAGCCCCGTTAACAGCACCTGCTGCACGTTGAAAAAAATTCCCATTCTGTCTCGATGTTCACTTATAGGTTATCTCAGAGTCCGATGCGAAATGGGGGTCTTGACTTTTATATGTGCAGGTCTTGACCCACCGAGGTAGGCCATGTTGATCGGGGACGCGTCGATCGCAGATAATGATATTTCTGTAACAATGCCATCTTGAAGCATAACGGCCAAGCTTAATTAGTTCATCCTAGCGCCAATGAGAACCCGAATCCCATCAGCCACCACGTCAAACCCTCGTACGAATCCGAACCCGAAGCCGAAGCCGAGTTTAGATCGTCCGACGTTAGCCAATGGACCCCACGAGATATACGAATCCGAAGTCCCTCGGTCTAAAACGTGGGGATTTAATTTAGTATACGCACCCTTTGATAGGCGAACGGATATGGAAAGTCCGGTGGCAATTATGCATCTCTTGCATATGACAGACTTGAAATCATTCAAAGGCCCGTCGCCGCACCCAAGAGCCCATGTGTGTGGATTTGTCTTCACGGTGCCCTCGACATGGACACAAAATCGTCTGATCTTGAAGCGCAATCTACCGTACTGACAGCTGAGAAGTCCAACGAATACACGGCGGATATGTCCGAATACGATGTCTTCTGGGAAGAGCCAGCCAGCGAGGACCCTGAGAATCCGATGAACTGGAGTTCTGGACGCAAATGGACTATTATTGGGATGGTTTCTTTCATCACTTTCTTGACGTGAGTACTTACTTATATATCTAGTATAGACCAAGGTCCTAACAACACTAGTCCCCTCGCCTCTTCGATGTTCGCGCCGGGTATCACACAAGTCCTCGAAGACTTTGGTACAACATCTAATCTCCTCTCGTCTTTCGTGGTCTCGGTTTACGTGCTAGGATTCGCTTTCGGCCCTCTGGTTGTCGCACCGGTCAGCGAGTATAGTGGCCGCGCATGGGTCTACAATGTTTGCAATGTCCTGTTCGTGGTATTCAATATCGCCAGTGCGGTTGCTCCCAATATGGCGTCCTTGGTGGTTTTCCGATTTCTCGACGGGTTTGCGGGTGTCGCTGCCATCACATGTGGTAGTGGTACCATTGCAGATCTTGTGCCGAGAGAGAAACGAGGCCAGGCGATGGCTATTTGGTCCATGGGACCCCTGTTCGGTCCAATCATTGGCCCCGTCGTGGGTGGGTTCCTCGTGGAGGCTACAAATTGGCGATGGGTGTTTTGGGTTCTTTCCATCACGGTAAGAAAGATAATACCAGGTTAACGGGGTCTGTCTGATCTCTAACTATTTTCAGGGCGGAGTCGCATCGATCGTCTTCTTTTTCGCCGTGCCTGAGACATATGCCCCAATCCTCCTTGAGCGGAAAGCTGCTCGACTGCGAAAGTCAACAGGAGATACGGCATATAAATCTCGTTTGGACACCGGAGTCCCTCCAAAACAGCTCTTCCTGCGGAGTCTCATTCGTCCATCTAAAATGCTCATTCTGTCCCCGATAGTGGCATTAATGTCCAGCTACATTGCCGTTCTTTACGGCTTCCTCTACATCCTCTTCACAACATTCACACTTGTCTTTGAGGGTCAGTATGGGTTCTCTGCCAGCGCCAGTGGCCTCTCATTCCTGGGAAGCGGGGTGGGAATGTTAATTGGTCTTGCCTACGTGGGGACGTTGAGTGATCGCAAAATCAAACTCAAACTCGCGCGCAAGGAGACACCTATCCCCGAGGACCGACTTCCCTTGTACCTTACCATACCTGGGTCATTGGCCATCCCGGCGGGTCTCTTTATCTATGGATGGTCGACAGATAAAGTGGTCCATTGGATCGTTCCCGAGATTGGAAATGCTGTTACTGGTTTCGGGATGATCGTTATATTGATGTGTGTTCAGACATATCTGGTAGATGCTTTCCTTGCACATGCTGCAAGTGCTGTGGCTGCCTGCACTGTTCTGCGAAGCTTGCTTGGGGCTCTCCTTCCTCTGTGTGGATTGCAAATGTACGAGAAACTTGGCCTTGGGTGGGGAAATAGTTTGCTGGCATTCCTTGCTTTGGCAATGGCGCCTATACCGATTTTGTTCCAAACTTGGGGAGAGAGGCTGCGGACGAAGTGGACTATTAACTTGTAAATATCCGGGTCTCTACACCGTTAATCTGATTTATGCAAATACAATGGTTCCGAAGATGGTCAAAGGAGAATATAATATATTTAACGTCTCGTACTGTATGTAGCACATCACTATCTGTCTCGCGTAACACATTCCTCATGTCAGATCATGGTATCTCAGAATAAATGTAACCATCATGAACAAAGGAAAAGGTCATAAATGTACAGGAATAAAAAAAGGAAAAATAAAAGAAAAAGCCATCTACTCAAGAAGGGCAACCATCAATCGCTGGTAATCACCAGAAGTCTCTCCACGGACGCGGTCAATCAAGCTCTTCCCGAACTTGTGTTGGTAAGCGCGCTTAACCATCTCCTTGTGATTGCGATTCCAGTGGACCCGGACTACACGGATAATAAGGCGCTCGTCCTTGGTGCCCATGCCGCTCATGGATTGCTCGAGTAGGATAGCATCACGCATGGCAGGATCCGTGGCCGTGCGGAGCATCAGGAGCAGGGCATCTTCCATATGACCCGAGAATGCCTTCTCAATATGCTTCTCGAGAGAGATATGGTAGCGTGACTCGAAAGTCTGGCTAATAGCGCGGAGTTCGGCATTGGAGGCCTGGGCAAAGATTGCGCAAACCTCTGTGACGTTCTTCCCTTGCACGGAGCGAACATCAGTCTCGATGGTTTGCGGGTTGATAGGGGTAGACTCTTCATGGCGAGCAGCACGAAGGACAATGGCGAACAGAGTGGACGTCTTGAAAGAGAGATCGCCTTCGACATCTTTAGAAAGCGAACGCCTGTGTCGCATTTCATAGGCGGTCCGGATAGCATTCATATCAGCATTGGACCGACCGAGCAGGATCTCATTGAGTAACCACTCCTTCGTGCCAGCACCATCGATTGCCGAGTGCAAGTTGTCGACATCATTCATAAGCGGTCCATCCAGCACGGCAAGTAGGCCATCGCCGAAGTACCCGCTGGTCTCAGACTTGACATCCTTGAACAGATCGCGGCCAAGGTGCTTGGAGTATGTGTCGCGGACAGCGGCCATCTGAAGCGGATCGAGCGGCGCGAGGACTGCAATCAAAGCCTTCTCATCTGTGCCGAAGCCCTTCATTGCTTTGCGAAGCGCATCTGCTTGGGGCCGGAACTCGCCTGGTGCTAGTTGACCAGGGATGTAGCCGGGAGACGGCTGTGACGGAATACCCTGGGGTGGAAAACCGCCGCCGGATGGTGGTGCGCCGTAACCAACGGGTGGTTGGCCCGGAGGGGCATAGCCATGTGGCTGCTGGCCGTATGGGGGTTGCGCCGGCGGCGCATGGTATCCGTGGGGTTGAGGAGGTGGCGCGCCGTAAGGAGCTCCCTGCGGAGGAGGCGCACCGTAGTGGCCTTGCTGGGGGGGAGGATAATGTCCCTGCTGAGGCGGGGGATAGTGGCCCTGCGGGGGAGGGGCACCATAGGGCTGCTGATAGCCCCCCTGAGGCGGGCCTTGCTGTCCGTATTGGGGCGCGTATCCTCCATACGGAGCTTCTATTGACTGAGTTAGCTCCTGTCAAGACTGGAAATGTATTTGAAATGCCACTCACGGTTAGGTTGGTAAGACATGGTAGACTGCGGCTCGTTGTATGCAGGTCATAAATGGTCCGGGCTGAGGGTTGAGGGGCTGTTTATATGCCGGCAGCTCGGCTCGAGTGTGGCGCAGTAAGGTGGGGGCGTTCACAGCCCTGCCGGCTTTCTAGAATTGTTGACGTCTGCCAATCTTCACGAGTGGAGGACGTTTCGTATTCAGGGTTCGACCTTGTGGGTTCTAATTAAAGAGATTGTTGTTGCCTTACTGCCAAGTTTGATAGCCTCGGTCCACTATACTGATGCTAAGTGGACATCGTTTCACTTCCAACCCCTTGATTTATTATCCTCTGATTCATTCAATCCAACATTGCAAGTTCTCTCAAACATTCAAAAGTCATGACTCAGCAAATCACAACTTCACCCATTTCCCTCCACCGCCGACAATGATCGCTTTCTTCATCTCGCCATCGCTAAATGGCATATCAAAACCGCCTGTGATTGCAACCCCATTCTTGAGCCTGAGTTCAATCTGGTCTTTTTCTACGGGCAACCTTTCGAATTCTTCGGATTCTTTGTGTAACTGGTCGGCTGACTCATAGGTGACGTCGGCATTGGGAAGGGAGAAAGACTGCCCGAAGCCAGTCAAATTGCCCACGAAAATATACTGAGCGCCTTCAACTTCAAATTGACCAAGGACTCGTCCTTTGTCGCTTGTCAGGCTTCCAGTTCCTTGAGGCATCTATGAGTTGATCAGTATGCGCTAGCGCGACTCAGAGTGCCAAGTACTTACTGTGGGAGATCTTGCCAGATATTCGCTGATATTGGGTTTGATGCTACGAATGTATGTGCTCATTCGGTCATTTAAAGAGACCGAGCAAGAAGAGCGGTCAGTTATCAGGGTTCAAGACAGGATACTGTGCAGTGCGTCCGATGTCATGCATGCAGGCCAAGTGGAGAGCCGTGCTCGACCTATGTTATGAGGGCGGATTGTCTTATCGAGACACGTTACATATGCAAGGAGGTGCAGCATACCAGAGATGCGGGGCTACGTAATGGAACGGGACTTCGACCGTTTTGTCCGGCCGCAGGCTCTAGATCAAAGACGGTTGCGGACAACATTATGTAAAACCGCATGGTTATCAACATTACTGCGATCTAGATGTTCAAGATTTGATTGACTCGAAATAATTTGAAGTTCATGTTGGGAAATGGTTTATCATTCGACGAAATATATATCTACACACAGATATACTTAAATCTAGATAGTCAATACTGATAGTCTTTTACTAAGTATCATTTTGGAAATCGTATAACTGTGTTGAGGGCGTGTTATCTTATTGTTCTCGTAGGCTGCTTTGTTTCTTTCGGTGACCTTCAAGATTGTGACTTGAATATTCTTTCATTTGAGCAGGGAAATCTCTCTCTCTCTAAATATGGGTCCTTCAAACTGTTTTGAATTATTCCAGCTCATACACAGCATAACTAATTATGCTTCTTTCTAATTATCACGATCGTGAGGTCCATACTAAGAATACACCCATGGATGCTTCGCCCCCACCAAAATTATAGCGCTAACCGGATTCGGCTAGCGCAGCCCCCAGCATTTGAGACGCCCCCGTAAAACCACGGAATATTGGCCTCCTATATTCCATCTCAATGGTGCAATACATGTTAGATGCCTCGCGGGGTCTATATATTCATAGTACCTGCTAGTGATTGAAATGACCACATTACCCCCAGGCCGGCGTTCGCACCGGAAATCGCGATCTGGGTGCCTACAATGCAAAAAGCGAAAAGTCAAGGTGAGAGATTCATCAATGTTCCTATTGCGCTCTAGCTTATAATTCTGTATCAGTGTGACGAAAACCAGCCACATTGCCGAAATTGTGAGAAGCACGGGGTGGTTTGTTCCTTTACCAGTGCCTCAACTGTGCTTTCCACACCGGCGAACTCAGCAGAGTCACCCGTGTCACTATCTGGCCCAGAAAGCACTACATCTGGAAAAAGTCGTGCCCTAGCACAAGTCTCCCAAGTCTTGCCAAGCCTGTCCTCATTAGGACCATTCCCTTCCACATTGGCTGTTTTTGACCTGGAACTGTTGCATCACTGGACAACGTCAACCTGTTACACACTATCGCGCAGTCCCACTGTGCAGACTGTCTGGTGCAATGAAGCACCTCGAATCGGCTTTGCAACGCCGCCAGTATTGCACACCTTGCTAGCATTTTCTGCGCTCCATCTAGCTCGCTCCGACGAATCTCGACGTGCAGCCTGCCTCGCTCACGCACAGATGCACCACAGCACCGCCGTGAGAGAGATGATCCCGCTCGTCTCACCGCTCGCACGAGAAAACGGCTCGGCACTTTTCATTTTCTCCTCTTTAACGTGCATGTTCTCCTGCGCCAAGCCATCGGAAGAAGGCGATTTCCTGGTCCTGTTTGAGCGCGGCAATCTATCAGAGTGGGCCCGTCTTTTCCGAGGGACAACGACTGTTATCCATACCGGCGGCGAGGATCTTCGTACCGGGAGGCTGGCACCGATCTTCACGAATGGAGCTTATTTAGCTGCTGCCCATCGCTCGCCACAGGCCCTTGAGCAAGGCAAGCCGCATGTGTGGGAGTTGCAGCAAATGATATGGAGGGAGTGCGCGGCTGACCCATCACTCCGGTCGATCTACCAAGAGGCTTTAGATGAACTTGCCCGAACATTGGGCCTAGCTATAAGACCTGGCATCATGCGGAGGCTCGAGACCGCGGATATCTTCCGATGGCTGCTCGATGTCTCGGATGAATATTTAAATCTTCTGCGCCAGGAAGCACCGATTGCACTCATTATCTTTGCTCATTGGTGCGCATTTATTCGTCAGATCGAGTGGATGTGGTGGATGGAAGGTCTAAGCTCGCGCCTTATGACCCAATTATACTCTGTATTGGATCCGAAATATCGAGATTGGCTTTCATGGCCACAACAGATTATTAATAGGAGTCATGAACAGACAGGTTGAATCAGAGTTACAATTACAGAAGTTTGGATAACCCATTAAAGAGAAACAATACCCCCCGGTTGAAGAACGAATTGGTGGCGCACGCTGGCCAAGTGCGTCCGGGTCTTTAACTTGCGCACCATCACGTCCCGGCCGTTGTGCCGCTAAGGTTTTATCACCATGTCGTCAGGGTTTCATTTGACTCCTTGGTCCTGGCGTATCTTGATCAGGCTAAGCAGGTTGAATCTGTTTCCTGGCTTATATTCGCAGTGAACTCGTAGCTCGTGTCTTATTCCATTCGGCTTTTGGATTGGTAGGATAATGTCTCTATGACCTTTAGCTACCGCTTATTATCCGGCGCTTGAGTCCTGCCCGATGGCTGTTCCTGGTTTATATGTGTAGAAGGTGACAGAGAGCTCTCTATCTATACAAATATACTAGGAAGACCCTATTTTCGTGAAATTGTTACGATGCTTTCTAGTACTATTGGCCTGTATTTCTCCTTATCGGCGGGGACCGTATCCTCTTCCTCAAATAGCTCCTCTGTCTCCTCGCCTAGATCCTTCCCGTAGACGTCATGGGGATGAGTGTGTACAAGGCTGCAATGCTGGTATGTAGCGGTGAATGAGGGAAATCGGGTACCGTCTCACTCGAGTAGTTCCTCGATTGCACGGAAGGGATGGTGGAGCATCAACTTGACCCGGCTAAAGCCTTCGGCCTAATTGAGCGAATGGTGGACGGGATAGTATACTAATACTTGCTGTTTGGCCCCACGGGATCCTCGAACTATATACCCAGTCGTAGGAATACAGGAGCAATGCTGCGTTCCAAAAGAACAGCCTTACTGGTAGATGGCCTTCTGTGATAGGATCTACTGGTTTAGGTAGTTTAGACCGTCGACGGCGGAGAGGAGATTGAGGAGGTGCTGGATGTGTCTGCCACAACAATTACCCTGGAGCACTGAGTACAGGGTCAAACTCGCCAGCAGCAGCTGTAACCGAGACCGCGGACCACTGTTCGAGAATTAGAAGAAGGCAATTAGCTAGGAGATAATTAAACCAACGAATGAATGTAAGGTGAGGAACGAATGGTTTCACTAACGTATTGCCAGAAAGTAAAGCAGGTAGTATGGATAGGTAGTCATCGTTAGTATGCTTTAGAAAGGAGAAGAGATTGATAAATTCATTTTTATGTACACATTTATAGGCCACAAACGACTGAACTCAGCTAGGATGCCGCAACAAACAGGCATCTGGTATCTTGACAGGAATAACCAACACATTCTCAGGAATAACGAAGACTACAGGAATGAATGGAATATGAGTAGTGAAATAACGTGTCTGTATGGGAATACTGGTTGGCGGTCTCATTGGCGTGGTGGTATGTAGGTATACATCACAGAATCTATATTCGCTCGATAATATCACGGTATAGACATAGAAAAGCCCATGGCTCGTTGAATCTAACAAGTAACAATATGCTATGTATGCAATGCTCGGAAACGCTCATGCAGCATCCAAATTCATAACTCCGATCATCATAAATATCGTAACCATGCAACGAAGAAACGCAAAAAAAAACAGATATGATACGATGCATGTCATGCTTATCATATCTGCCGTGATGTTCAAAAGCAAAAGAAAAAAGCCAAGACACTTCACCTATGAATCTCACCAATAACCTCAACATGCGAACCAGGAAACAGTCCCGTCCGACCAGCATAGCATCCCCAGAACCAATCATCATTGATATTCTCCGCCTCGGTAATATGCGCGCCGCGCGGAAAAACAAGCTCGTCTTCGACTTCTTCTTCCGGGTACCAGGACCACAGGGCATGGACGATGAGCCCGACACCACCGTCAGGCGGGAACCGGCGGAAGGGCGGGATGCCCTGAACCGGACTTGCGGCACTGGAATGTGCTGGATTTGAGGGATCGGAATAATTCCCGGTGATACTGTTTGTGGGGGCATGTCCGGGGCGCAGACGGGATGCTTTCTTACGGCGCTCGGGGCCTTCTTTCCAGCTCCAGTCACCGGTTCCTAGCTCTGGGGATGCGACTGGAGAACCGGATGCTGGGGAAGTTGGTGAGTGTGATTTTGATTGTGCTACGTGCTCGTCTTTCAGAGCGCGGCCACCCACGAGATCGCGTACAACGACGCGGCGCTGGCCTTCTTCGTGGTCTTCGAAGCCGACTACTATCATACGGTGGCCGGCGAGGCAGCGGCGCCAGCCGTTGTGTCCGTTCTCTTTGTTGATTTTGCCTGTTGCCACGAGTTTGAGGTAACAGTTTGTACAGACGTCGTAGTCGCCGCTATTGCATTCCAGGCAATGGTAGCGGGTGTTTGAGGCTGGGATTGGGTATGTGCAGATATCGCAGTTGGTTGAGAATGAGAGGATTTTGAAGCTCTCGATCTCGGATGACGTGAGGGTATTTGATCCAGCCGGTGATGTGGGGGACGGTGCTGGTGGAGATGGGCTATTGGTAATGCGCCGGATGGGCAATAAGGCGTGGGTGCAGCATCGTCCTTGGTTGACGCAGGAGTTACAGAAACCCCAGTCTCCCTCGTTGCAGTGGCTGCATTTCCAAAAACAATCGTTTGTCGACGATTGACACGTATCACAGAAGAGACCGCTTTGTAGCCGGCGGGCTGGGTTGTCGTTGGTCATTTTGGTTTCCCCGCTCACGGTTTGATGGGCAGTCTCGGAGGGCCGCAGGTATTTGAACCACAATAAGTCATGGCCGGAGTCATTTATTTGTAAAGGGCGTCGAGTAGACGACGATATGATTCGTTGAAAGGTCGTGTGTGCGGAGGCATCAAATCCACTCCATCGAAGACAGCCACGTCCCGCGCGGTAACATTGTAGACACAGGTTGAAGTTCCCTTCCTTACAACTTGTGCATGTCTTGTGTAGGTTATATTGGATGTTGTTCTTTCCGCAACGGTCACAGGAGATGGATGGCTCGGGGTATTGTACAGTGGGGGATGCAGGAACATTCGATCGGGACGAAGATGGTCTCGTTCGTCTGTCTGACCGGACTGGAACAAGGGGCGAAGATAATGCTGGAAGGGTATGATCGGTGTGACTCGTATGGCGGAATGAATTAGAGGGCGCAGCGCTAAAAGTGGGAAAGCTCGTGGCTGATTGGCTCGTGGTCGGTCTGGAAGAGCTTCGTTCTCGTCCTCCGGCCACCCACGCTCTAGAAATGTTCTGTTCTGACTCTGTGGCACGTCGCGGCCTGGTGGATGATGATCCCGATCGTAAGCGTCCAGCCTGAGAGAGGTGGCGGTCCGTAGTGACATCACTCGAGGATCTAGCAGCAGGCCTTATAGCTTCATCCGATGCAGACGCCGGGTTCATTCGGACGGGCGAGGTCCTTCGGCGCGCACTTGGATGGCCCGCGGTGCTCGGCCGCGCGGGAGCCGAATCCAACAGATGCGGTCTGGAAAGTGGCGGGCGTCTACCATTATGTTCTCGAGTCGCCATTGTTTCCGTCAGCTGGGCGGACTGGGACCGAGAATGTGTTCGCACAGCTCCGTCAGGCTCTTGCCGCTGTTCTCTTCCCTGTTCCTGTCGCTGGCGAGACTGTGACCTTTGCATATGCCTCCGACGGTAAGCATCCGCGATGCGTTCACTGAGTTCCTCTTCCTGCCTCGGCCCAAGATTCTCAAGATTGATATTGTCCAGTAATCCGTCCTCGAGAATTTGCCGCAAAATCTCTTCCTCCATAGTCTCCGCATCAGATGACAAACTCAATAATGATCGCAGACTAGATTGATGCTCAACCCGTCGGGCACGGTCCGAATCATCGGGCCGCAACGTACGTGGCTGCCGCGTTGGATCCTCATCCCTCCTCCGCCTTGACCGGGCGTCCTCCGCAGGCCTCTCGATATGGGTGCTCCTCTCGCGCGTCCGCGAAGACTGGCCCGTTCGCCGGGCCTCGCGCCTAGCTTGTGCCCGGCTTTCGCGTAGACTCAGCTCGCGTACATCCTCCAGCAGGCGTCTATCGTCCTCGCCATCCTCCGCGCTCTCCCCGCCCGAAGGAAGTGCCGGGAACACCGACTCGCCTTGTGTGTACCTCGTAGCAATTTCCGCCTTTTCATCTGCAGCTCTAGCACGCTCGGGGTGCGCGGTCAGGACCATGTCCAGCAGGGTCGTGACGGTGGCATTTGGGCGGGTGTCGCGCACTTCGGTGCGACAGGACGGGCAGGTAAATCGAGGCGAGGCATGGGAGCGACGCGATCCTTGTGCGGAGAACCATTCTTTCACGCAGGATCCGCAGAAGGTGTGGAGGCAGTCGAGGAGAGTGAGGGGCTGGTAGAGGAGCTCGGTACAAATCTGGGGCAGAGTGTTAGAGATGCAAGGGGTGGCATGGCCAAGTACATACCGAGCATACCAGCTCTTTCTCAAGATCTGCCAACGCGGAACTTTGAACTTGAGACATCGGGTTTTGGAAAAGTCCCGTCAAGAAGTAAACAGAGGTGAGGACCAAGGTTCGTGAATGTGGGATGGAGTTGGCTCCACCAATGGGTGATCTCCCGCTTACAGCTTCACCTTTTCACTTCCAACAACACTTCAACTTCAACTTCAACTTCGACTCTCTTTCGGACTTTGAATCTGGACTGCCTGGAGAGAATTTTGTCTTGTGCCACTTTTACAGAGTGGTTCTCGACGGGTAGTTTTTGCACACCCGATGAAACTTGAGAAAACATAGCAATGTGGTAGATGGAAGATCGAAGATGGTGATTCCATCATGAGATCTTTGGAGGTTGCGGGCCTTAGGCGGAAAATAGCAAACTGAGGTTTCAGGAGAATACATATATCTAAGCATGCACCGTGCAATTTCTTTGAAGATTCCCTTTGACTCCTGAGATTCGAATTGGAATAATATGTAGCCTAGGTAGAACTGCTAGAGCGGAAGAATATCAGCAACTGCATAGGAATGAGTCTAATTGACCATCAGCTAAACTGTGGCTCCTCGGTGTCAGTCTTGATCAAATTCCAAAGATGATCACTCGGCCGCGAGATTCCACATGAAAGGCTATCGCGTATATGCTAAACAAAGGCATTGTGTCCAGGCAGCCCAGGTAGCCAGAAATCTATATGCCATTTCCCCGCATACAGAAGATCAAGCGGTCAACAGAGTCAAATTCAAATCACCCGATACCGGTGACTTAAAAGTCCACAAACCTATTCTAAACCAGACTATAGGGATCTGTGCTATTCTTCACCATCTCCCCGACCAAAGGCCCCATTCGCCGACACAGTGGCGGCAAAGATGCAGGACACGTCCCTCAACGCCATGGAAGCACAACACGCACGGTCTATGGACAGAGATAGAGGTACCTCCAGTGACAACGCAATACAAGTCCGAGCACCAGTACCTGAGCATACCAGGCCGGCCGAGAAGAAAGAGTTTCAGTCGAGCTGTAGTATAGTCCTTGGCCCGCCACGGAAAGTGGGAGCGGGGGTGAATCCCAACAAAAGGGGGAAAAAAAGAGGCGGATAACGAGAGACGTCGTTTAGACCTCGCCTCTCTTGTGGCGGACATGAGCAGTTTCCATTATTCCCATGGCTTGACTGGTTATCATGGGTAGCGGTGAGGGGGTGGCTGCGAGGAAGCGAAGAATTGACTTTGAAATGCCATTTGCTTGGAGTCTGAGCACACTGTTGCGAGGCCGGAACGTCGGAACTAGACACCTGCCATTATAGGTGTCATGTGTCATGTGAGTGCACGGGGTTTGAATTTGTGTTTCTCTGTCTTGGAGTTTGATATACGACTTCGCGTGGAAACCTAACGCCGACGCTGTCTTTCCTCAGATCTCCCGGTGAGAGATGCATGTCGTGATCATTTGCGTGAGCGTGAGAGGTCGAAGTGTGGGGAAGGTCTGTGTCCAGGGATCTCCGCTTGTAGGGCCGGGTCACTGGCGCCCGCTGTGGCTTGAATGGAGTATAGCTTCGAGACCTTGGATGGCAGGAAGATCAGAGGATCTATTCGTCAACTAGCGTTATCAGTTGAGGGTTCCAAGGTAGGTTTACCTTGTCTCGTGATCCTATCCCTATCTCCGCATTGTCAGCTGTTTACCTACTGGGAAGGTATACAACACCTCGGACTATCAGCTGTAAAGTGAGAATTCGCTCGGACAGTATGAGGTGGCAGATGCACCCCGCAATTGAGGGGCGCAGGCATACAACAATGTCCGAAGATAGGAATCCGTTGAATCCGAGAACATTCATGGATTGTAAGTGTGTTCGGAGCAATAAACTAAAGTACCAAGGGTTCGATTTAGTACAAGAATACGTAGTTGGCCGGTGCTTCTATTCTATATTTAAATACTCCTAGTTATGTTGTACATGATTCTGGTTATATAAAAAGGCCAGTTACGTAGGCGGGTCGATAGACATGTTAAAATATCCCTGTTTCCCTCTTAGATGTCGTCTCGCTAGGGATAAAAACGATTGGCCTACAAAATGACGTTTGAATGCATAATCGTCGATAGCAAACAAGGAAGAATGTAGATCAACCTAGCAGCGATCATTATTCCTTCAGACCCTTTGACCCACCCGAGGGAACGAGCTGAATCCAACTACCCCGCGTCCTTATCTCTGTGCATCTACAGAGGAAACATTCCAAGCTGCAAGGAATGCGTCTGAACAGATGGATATCGGTCCAATGCCCAAATCCAGAACTTATTCCATTCAAAATGGGCGTTCTATAACGCTGACGACGGAGAACGCCTCTCCCGCGTGGAATGATAACGGGCCCTACGCAGCCAATCCCCGTCGCCCCGGCGTATTATGACGGTTGGAGATAGCCGAGTGGCTTGACTGTTATGTAATCTACCCATATCTGGCCATCCGGGTTCCGAGATTGCCATCCATTTTTAGGTCTGGAAATAGTGGACTCCTCACAAATGACAACTTAGCCGAGAGCACGGAATCGCAATATCAACAGCACATTCTCAACAGACATCGACATCAGACTAGCCTCCCAAATCCCGACATGTCAGACGAATTGCCAACCACCCATATCCGAAAATAGCAAATGTGGAGAGAGAAAAACCCCGCGACGTCGGGGTACACCTGCAAGTTGCACATCATTTTCCCCAGAACAAGCCACCAAAAACCTCATCCAACAAGCGCAAAGTGTAAACAAAGTCCTGAAACCCCCTGAGATAAACCCACGTCCCTGCTCCCCCAGCCCAGAAAAACAGCGAACATGCACTGACCCCGTCGGTCATGCATAGAGACGCTGTTAGTTCGCCGCACTAATGCAGCGTCTTATGCACGCCCGCGCAGACTAACTAAAGCGATTCACGCCCTCCCCCCACTATTACCACGGCCTATCGAGTCGTACTCCGTAGTTAGCTCCGGGATCGCGCGCGCACTGACAGCAGCGCCTCCGTTCTGGCCGGTCGTCGAATCTTGGGGTGTTGCTTTGGCCCTTTTTTTGAATCGCCCATCGCATGCTATGCATAAGCGTGGGGTCTAGCCAAGATATCCAACCGTGTGTGCTAAATTCGAAAGAGACTAGTTGGTAGTTAGAGAGAGTATATTGGAAGTATACTTTTCTAGTGTTACTATCATCTCATCTCATCTGCACGACTAACGTCCGTGCTGCACTCAACTGAGTTAGTACACATCATGTATGTTGTATACCCACCTAGTTAGTTATCCGATGTATACGGAATCGACTAAAGCGGCTGTTCCTGATCGCCTGTCTGTCTTACTAGTGGTTGGATGTCAAGCTGTGTGCTCCGTACGGTGGTGCCACTTCGTTTTTTTTTTCTGAGATACAACGTCCGGGATACAGATGCCCCTTGAGAACTGCAGAACAGGGATGTTGGAAGGTAGAAGGTCAGGTGGTGCTCGGTGCTGTGCATTGCAGGGCTGGGATTTGCGTGACGTGCGACATTGCATACATAGCAGCCTATATGCGTTGCTTGCGTGCGAGTTCTTATTCTTGAGCTATCGGCCAATCAGCGTTGAGATCTCTATCTTGTGCTATGGAGGTGAGATATGAGGGTTGAAACGGGTTGGAATGTGGATGTTGTGTGACATGATGAATTGGATGGTTGATTACAACGTTTTAACTGTAGAGGTAAATCGGAGGGATACACATCTTGGTCTGTGGTTGGGATATCTGGCAGATTCTACTTCTACATTGTACCAGCCATATCCCATATCCCATTGGCAGATCCAGACTGATAACTGCCCGACGCGAATCCCGGGGTATAGCTCGCGGGGTAAGAAACCTTGGGGAACCTGGACCATAACACAAGTCGCCATGGGGCCCCGGTCGCATCAACTCCGAGTTCAAAAGCATGCATCAATGCAAGAGCTGCGAGACGTATCAAATCGACGCGGGGTAGCTATGTTGTAGAGCTCCAGAAACGCCCTGCCCCTCTGTCATCTCGTTAATGGATGCTACTCATTTCCCTTCGTACTCAACTTCAACATAGACAGGCCGCTGCCCAAAGCGTTCGTATTTACCAAGGCAAAGCAGGGGAAGCTTATGCTTAGCAGTGAGTTGGATATGATTCTCGGTACTGGACCCAGCTGGACCCAGAAAAGTCAGAGTTCAGCCACGCGAACGCCCTCGGGGTGACTTGCAGTTTGGGACTGTCGCCAGCGAGATATGGCGAATTGCAAGGATCACATCACTCCGGTGAAGGTGTCGATTTGCGAGGTCCAAGTTAGTTGGGAATTGCAATGTGCCAGGTGAGATCGAATCTGGGCGATCCTTTCAATAGTCGATTAGCAAGCGCTTGCAATCCGTCATAAAGTAAAATTCCAAGGCCAAACTCTGATGTCAAGGTTCTGAGCACAGGATACACCGCTTCGCTATAACCTTGGAAGACTTTCTACAATGCGGGTTTCCCGTGAGGCGGAGGACCGAGGGGTTCGAATCCGGGAACAATTGAAAAAGAAAGAAAAGAAAACAAAAACAAAAGCGCACGGAGGTTTTCAGGTTTTCAGGGTCTCGAGTCTCGACAAGGGGTGAAACAGACGTTATCGCCCTGCCGCTCGGAATGTTGCGACCTTGCCGCTCACCGAGACGTTCATATGGGAAATGATCGGGTACGCCCGTGGGCTACTCCGTATAGATTCCAAGGTTTTGCGGGACTCCAGACGTTCTCCAAAGGTCCAAAAGGAGGGGTTGAAAACCTGGAGATCAACCTCAGGTATGCAGATCTGAAAGTTCGAGACTTGTCGAGCAGTTAAGAAGTCGGGACTCCAGCCGAGTACCCACTGCGCCATGGGCTCGCCAATCTGGCATTTCCGAGGAGATCATAAAAGTACATACACACTAGCAAGTGGCATCCAAACGCCATCTAAAAGCCACCTGTTTTGTTGGGAATTCATTGAATGGAGTGGCAAAAGAGGAAAACTCTGCGCCGCTAACAAAGGGGTTGGTCCGGGCGGCGTCTATGTCCGTACTCCGTACTCCGGCATGGAAATGGAACGGGAAATAGAAATGATATAAAATGAATAAAATGGAGATCAATATAAATCCGTTGTATGACACTTCATTAGTGAGACATGGCGAGCTGAAGGGATGAAACGGGGCACAGCAAAAGATAAACCAGATATGGCCCTAGAGATTCACAGCCAAGTCAATGATGATGTTCGTACATATACTCCGTACTTCTCATGCCACTCAACCTTCTATGGAAAGAAAGATCAAATAATACAGAGGTCATGATACTTCCTATGTATGAAATATCCTGGAGTACAAGACAGTTGCTGCACGAGCGACCGGGGTCCAGACTCCCGCCAAGTAGGCAAAACCAAGGCATCGGGGACTATCAAACGCACCTTGACATCATGGACTAGCCGCGTGGAATTACCACTCGAATTAGATTATTTATGCAAGTCGTGATTTCGGGTCTGCATTCGGACATTGGCATTGGCTTCTGGATTCGGGCTTGATTCGTGCTTTCTTCAGTGAGCACGCTAATCGGGAAATCATAGGGCAATCATACGACGTGAACAATCGCACATCCATATCTCGATATCTCCATTCTCGTGGGTCCGGCATTTTACGGCACCCTCGGCGGAGCCCTAACACGCAAGGTATGGTAGAGTCTCCACCGAACTCCCCCGATCACACAGGGTACAACTACTACCACCTAGGAGATTCCAATGCACACCTACACCTCCGTATGCACGTCAGGTAGAATTCCATACATAAAACCCGAATAATGAAATCGGCAACCACGGTCGTGTCGCGGGAAAGAAAGCCCTCGGTCGTACCACCGCAGATAACTTCCCGGGAGGTGTCAGAAAAATCTCGATAACAGTGTATGATCAATCTATTTGACATTCTAGACACTTGCCTCTACGCTCTAGCCACCTCCCGGCCGGTAGCACCAACTCCAGTTCCCAGCGGAACTTGAAACCCCCTTTGTATTTTCTAGCCCCAATCTCATATATACAATCGACGGAGTATGCACGGTGTAGTCGAAGGGATGGCGGAGTGGATATTATGCTTCTAGCACTTGCATGGCGCAATGTATCCCTTACCAGTGCGCGGCAAGCCCAAAAAGAAAAGCAGCGTCTTCTTACCTGCCACAGGCTAGGAGAATCTGGAACAAACCGGTTTTGGCTGGGCCGATCCATAAATCTCGACCAATCTCTGGGCCACGGGGCACTAGTGAATTGATAAGGGAAGATCGGGGTAGGGAATCTTACATAGATAATAGGAGGATATGGAGTATAGTTATGCAGTATATGGAGTATTTTGAAAGATACATGGGGACCATGGGGAATGGTAGTCATGGTGATACACATGCATCAAGGCAATTACAACGTACAGGTTGAAGCAGAGTTGGTGGACATGTATGGACCCTCTTAGCGCCGAGTATAGGAGGGCTGTAGTCCGCTAATTGTGACACTAGGGGGGATGGTCAGTGCATTATAGTGAGCTTGCGAGATGATCGTCCAACGTGCTCGTGCGAATAGACCACATGTCGGAGAATTGAAGGGATAGGAAGTGGAGGGGATAGGAAGCCGAACGTAGATTCTACTAGTATCCTGAATCATGAATATTATAATCAGGCCATTGACACTAACAATGGACACTGACAGGTAGAAATCAATATTCGAATAAATAAATATATAAGCACGCAAAAGACCAAAAATATCAGAAAGACCAAAAAAGACAAAACAAGAGACACCAATATAATAGAAAATAGAAAATAAATATCCCCCACCTATACGGGACGCACTGACCTGGGTATATCTATGCAAAGCAGACGCACCTCGACAATATTAATTCTTTTTTCGACTTCTCTTCCATGGTCGGATGGCACAATTATCTTTATTTAATCGCCCCACTTTTTCATTTAGGATTTTAATGATTTTCCCATTTTCTCGGAAAAAGCTATAATACCGGATTTTGTCGCTTTCCTCATCTTTTCTTTCCCCATCCCGGCTTATCTTCTCACACAGTCATAGTGGGAATGGCTTGATTTGCCACTATACACAACTTCCAAGGTTATCTACTTCCAAGATACCTTTTAAATCACCTCCTGATCACGGCTGTGCCGGGAGCTTGCCTTTTCTTTCTTCTTTATATGTACATCTTGTCTCTTCTCTGTACTATTTTAAATTCCTTCTCCTCTTGCCCTTGGCTAATATCACATCGCCACTCGATGTTCATACTTCACGGTATTGATAATCTCTCTCCTTCTGCAATTGACTACCCAATTCCCTGAGTCGCTGTGTGTGTGACCGGTGCAACCTGGACTCCCCCACTGGCACCGGGCACCTTCCTCAAGTGTCACCCTGCTGCATCCCATCTCATACCTCGATGAAAATGCCGTGCTGGCTTTCCTCGCCTCTTGCCTTGCCTTGCCACTGACCTCCCGTCGCCACAAACCCGGAATTTAATGAAGCCTTACTGACGGCGAAGCTACTTCAGACACTGTACTGTGATTGAACATTTGGACCCCTCCCCCGAGTCCTTCCTATCTACCTTTCATCCCCTTCTTGTGTTGAGACACGCAAGTCGGCCGGATGCCATACATTGCGCCGGTAAAGAAGTTGCTCTCCGCGCAGCACATTGAATACTCCCCCACCGAGCCCATAGAGCGGCCAGGTTTGGTTCGCTCCCCGACACGGGCTCGTCCACATTCTGCTACTCGTCCTCGGAGGAACCCTTCGAACACCAAACCGACAGTGCATTCCTCTCCAGAACCCCCGGCTCGGGCCCTCCCCTCCATTGATCCACATGCCAGTCTCCGCCAGTCCCCACCGCCGATAAGCAATGCGATCCTCCCTCCCGGGGCGGTAATCTCACCTCCTGAGTCCGGCCCAAACTCAAGTGATGAAGAATCACCACGCCGACGCGGCGACGGTGTCAGGTACGACGAGCTGCAGGCTGCTGTTCGATCAATCAAAGTAAGGAGGGAGAGTTCACCGGAAAGAATGGGTTCGTCTGAAACACCGGAGCGGCTCTCGTCGAGTGCGCCGACCACTCGCCCCAAGCTCCCTCACCTACCATTGTCCAAAGAAGCTCGCAAGATCACTCACTCTCGATCATCCACTGAAACCGCCATCGAGTTGACTCGGGAGTTGACTCGGGAATCGGCATTGACTAGCTCGCCCGACGAAAGTGACGAGGAGATGTCGTGCAAGCCCCTGATGGTCCGTAAGAAGTCAGGTGAGCTGGTTCGACCTGCTCTCCGCCCCTCTTCGGCCAGACGACGACCATCTAGCATGCCCGGTACTCCCGTCTATTCGAAGGCTGTGCATTTCGACTCTCACTTGGAGCATATCCGTCACTTCCTCCAGCTGGACCGGCCATTGGCTGTCAGCACCGAAACGTCTCCAGTCGAAAACCACGACAACAAGCACGAGTTCCCCTTTGACTCTTCGGATGCGCGCGGTCGGTCGTGGGAATGGGAGATCAAGCTCTCCAATTGGCCCAAGGATACCTCATCAGCTGCCACTCGCCCGGTGCGCCTTGAGCGGTTGTTCTTGTCGGCTGATAAGAGCACTCTGATCGGAAATGTCGCAGTGGCCAATCTTGCTTTCCACAAGAGTGTGACCGCTCGGTTCACGCTGGACTACTGGAGAACTACCTCGGAGGTTGCAGCGGCATACTGCCACGATGTTCGCCGCCAGCAAGCAGCGGACGGGTTCGATCGCTTTTCGTTCGACCTGAAGTTGGATGATCAGGCCAACCTGGAGACCAAGACCATGTTCATGTGCATCCGCTACAACGTGGATGGACAGGAATATTGGGACAACAATGGTTCGGTAAACTATCAGATTGATTTCCACAAAGTGCCCAAGATCCATAAGCCTGCAGGCGGAAAACCTGCTCTTCCGCGCAGTCGATCCTTCACCAGCATCCATAACATTCGACCCCAGTCTATGCCGCCCAACTATGATTTCCCCGACCTTAGCGACAAGAAGTTCAACGACAAGAAGTCTTTCACATCCCTTTTCGATGATGCCGATGGTGCGCCCTTGGCTCGCATGCCGTCGGATGATATTGATACGGTCGCACCCCCCAAGCGTCGTGAAAACCCGAACCGCCAGGCATTTGGCAACCGATACGACTTTGGAGCGTCGTTATCGGCTGCTATTCGGTCAAAGGCGCCCCTGGATCGGACCGCTCTGACTGCCCGTGCGAAATCTGGGGAGGCCGTGGTGCCGGAGACTCCCAAACCGGCCAAGAAAACCCCCAGCTTCGAGCTGGGCAATGGCTCTGCAGTGAACGATAGCTTCCGCCCCGGAGGTCGTGTGGATCAGAAACCTTCCTCCTTGGTATCTAGCAAGCCACAGCTTGAGTCTTCCGTGTACCAGGAACTGGTTGATAAGTACTGCTTTGTAAGTTTCTCAACTGCGCATCACTTATGATAGTCAACTAACCCCCCACAGTATGGATCTCCGCAAGGATCGACCCCGAAGGCACAACCATCGATCTCGAACGCTCGTGCAGGCGAGGCCCCGAAGCATGTCTCTTCCCCAGCCTGTATCTCGCCGCCTCTGTCTCCTCGCTCTCTTGCTCCTCGCGATTCTCCTGTCGTCGAGGCCCCCCGGGCTTCTGTGAGCCCGCGCACCTCCCCGCGGCCCTCAACCTCCCCTATGGGGTTTCGCCACTCTTTCCACCACAACTTCATGAATGAACCTCACTCTCCAACAGTCATTAGAGGGTGAGTAAAATAGACTGTTCTGACAGAGTCCAACCTGGCTATTCCGGCCGGCCTTGAAACATCGTTGACGACTCTGTGAAGGGAATTTGGTTGTCCATGTGTGGAACTGGACAAATCCGTTGACCAAATTTCGACTACCTTGACCCTACCGCGTAACGGCGCACTTTGATGGATTCTTTCTTTTGACTCTTTGATTACTTCATCTCAACTACCCGCTCTTTTGGTTTCAACCAACAGCAAATGTGAGCGTTTGTCTTTGCGATGCATAATAAACCGCGGACGTTTCGTTATCATTCTCTGTCGGTTTGCTACCATCAGTCGTCGGCCCGAATTTTCGACGCGCCCGTCCAGCTTTGTTTGGTGCGGACATTCTCGCGATGTTTTTGTTTTTGTTTACTGCGTGCCGCTTGGCTATGCATGATGACGCTACGATTTCTTTTCCGAGGCATCTTTCGATTCTTTGCTGTTCGTCTCTGGATGGCCCTTCCTTTTTCAACGCAAAAGTTTTTAGTATGCCTGTCTCCGCTTTTGATTTCGCTGCATTGTATTTGATCGGTTGTTTTTATTGCATGGTGTTCGGGCGTTTTTTTGTGTTTTGTTTTTTTTTCTTCCGCTTGTTACTCCTTAATTCCACGATACGGTCTACCTAGGTTTCTGGGTGGATGTGGAATGGGATTGGGATATGAGGATGCGAAGATAGTGATACATGACTGCCTATTATATAGGCACCGCGACGTTGTTTTGAAATGATACGAGACATGATGCACGCGCACTGACTGGAACTTCCTTTTTCTTGTAGCTTGTAGGATAGCGGAAACATGAAGCATTCTTACTATAGTAGTATGTACTATGTAGCACTTGATAAGAATGCTAGCCACGTTAAAAGCTGGAGGTGGGTCTTTCGATATACTTCCCGATTAGGCTATACCTGATTCGGCAGCCCCACCCGTATCTCCTATCACCACGTGACTAGTATCAATGTCGCTCGCCGCAGGAAAACGCGGGCTCGCCGATGCCTGGTAGACGCGCTGGAAACCGACCCTTCCTAACACTCTTTTTCTTTCCCCGCCGCCCGCCAATCACCGCCGGATTGCAGAATGCAATTTCTCGCTTACCTAAAACACGTACTTTCCGGATCACGCGTAATCGGCTTTCTTATTTAAACTGCCTTCCCCCCTCCACTTAGCGATTTTCTTATTTTCTCCCCTCTTTACTCTGAACGCCATCCCATCAAGCGCGTTTTTTTCCCCATCGTTTATCGACGACACAGACGTCGATTCATCTACTTTTTAAGTACTTTTATTTCTTCTTATCTGAAACTATGTCTGGACGTAAGTATTATTCTTTTTTTTATCTCTCGTTGTCGTTATATCCTTGTCGTGGTGATGTTCCCGGATTAGAACCGGTGATGGTGATGCCCCTGTCGACACGTGATTACTGCCTCAGGCACAAACTGCATCCCACCTTCCCTGCATCTTAAGACAACCTCCAACCACCCTTCAACTATACTCCCTGCCCTTCGTCCCGCCACACTTATATCCACATATCAAACCTAGTACCTTCCCAAACAAAACTAACAACCAAAAACAGGCGGCAAAGGCGGAAAAGGCCTCGGCAAAGGCGGCGCCAAGCGCCACCGCAAGATCTTGCGCGACAACATCCAGGGAATCACCAAGCCCGCCATCCGCCGTCTCGCCCGCCGTGGCGGTGTCAAGCGTATCTCCGCCATGATCTACGAGGAGACCCGCGGCGTGCTCAAGTCCTTCTTGGAGTCCGTCATCCGTGATGCTGTCACCTACACCGAGCACGCTAAGCGTAAGACTGTTACTTCGCTTGACGTTGTCTATGCTCTTAAGCGCCAAGGCCGTACTCTTTACGGATTCGGTGGTTAGATTCGTTGTTAGCTACTTGCTGCTCAGTCACTCACACTCGCTGCGTGTGGAGTGCGTGTCGGTCGAAGGCTTTCCTTACTTAATGCGCTACGGTGTGATGGGTTCTACTTGTTTGTTTTTGCGGTAATTGGATTGGGGTTTGGGGAATTGCTTTGGTTAGGACTGCTTTTCTTCTATGTCCCCTGAGGTTGGGAGTCTTTTCTTTTCGTGGGTAACTATGGGACTGTTGGTGTCCTTCGTAACTAGTTGCTGGTAGACTCTTGGGTTCGCCCGATGATGTTCAATTTAACTTTTGCTATCAGTCATCTTTTTTGGTTTCTGCGTAGTTTGTATCGTGTAGGAATTAGTGGTTTGGGTAGTTTGCATAGGTGGCTTGAGTTACATGTAATGTATACTGTGCTCAATCAATGACGGTGTCATTGTACGGTCGCGGGCGGAGGATAGTCACCCGCAACGCAACTTTGATTTCCCTTTTCAGCACAGCCCAGGTTCTTCCATCCAAAGTCTGTGCTTGCCAATTCAGCCCATGAACTCAACTATATGCACGACCTGAAAGTATCCACAAAGCAAAGTCAACGTTTAGCCAAGATGCAACATATCCGAGTGACATCTTCGAATCACTTCCTAGTCTGTTCCAGACCCCTATGTACGGAGTTGGCGAATCCGCCCACAAGGTTTGCGACCAACTTCTGTTTTGGTAAATGTGGGGGAAATATGACATCAATGCTCACGGCTAGGCTTCAAATGGGCTTGAATCTTGATGGGCTGTCATGACGCGCACTTCAGCCACCGGAAGCAGCATTATCAGTGAAGACTGCGGCCCAGATCTTTCGAAGACCGCGATGAGATTGAGTTGCATCGTTTCGTAGGTGTTGAAAAAGCCATCTGGTTCCGAGCAGAAAGTCTGGATGTTACTGATGCATGTTGACGCTGAAGTCAATATTGTCCCCGAGTCGGTGTCCTCTCGGCCCCATGCTACCGTGCCGAAGTCGTGAGTGGAGTTTATGGAGAGACCGGGGACCTTCTGGGGTAGCCGGTCCATGCGAAGGGTTGCCCTTTCGGGGCATAGGTAGTGTAGGCGAACCGCAAACACCCTCGGGACCTTGTTATGGATGAACCGGCGGCTAACAATGTGATTTTTATTTCGTCAATGGATGGCTTATTCTTCTCCAGCTCGGTTATAGCCGGCGAGATCAAGAGGCCTTGGTATATTTGCAAGCTATGTGCTGATCGCGTGATTCAGTCCGCGTTCGTGTCTGCGCTTCCATTGGCTGGGGATTCAATGCGCAACCCAACCAGTACTTTTGGCAGAGGGTGAAATTATCACCCATGGACATTGTGAAGTGGTGAGATACTACTGACCTACTATTCTCCATATCTTTCATGGCCCTAAACGAGATCTGATCGCAATATCCAAAGAGGAAGTCCATACGCCGATCAGCCCTGGATATCCTGGGGAGAGCGGGGAAACCGACGGATCTTACCGTGACACCTCCCTGAATTCATACAACGCCGACATCTGGAAACTGACCGAACAGCTCCAAACCATTTTACAACTGGCCTCTTGCTATTTCCCTCGATTCGCGCTAAAATCATGTCGAAGGCCTGCGCCCACTGCAATACAAGTAAAGAGAAAGAGACATGTGCTGCAGGTACTAGTCCAACATGCATGAGATGTAATCGTCTGAAGATTGGCTCCACTGCTCGTCATTCCAAGCGCATGATACACCACACTTCTCCCAAAGACGTCCAACATGGGGATTTGCGGGTTTCTACTGCTGTGTCGCGACAGCGCGCCAAGTCCAAGGACAGCGACAGCCATCTCTCATACTCCTCCTCTAGTCCAGGTTCATCTTCGAGCTCGACTCCCAGAGATGACGAACCTTGGACCCCCGACAGTACCGAGGTCGTGGTAATATCGCCTGAGAAATTACTCGCCGCCCCCGTCAACTTCCAAACAACATCAGATGCGCTTCGCACTGTTACGGACGTGGAACAATTCTCAGCCATACATTCGCCATTTATATTCGGATCTAGTTTTATCCCGGGATCCCAAAAGACTGTTTATGCTATTTTGCAATTATCCGCCCCGGTGCTGACCGAAGGATACCTGGCCTTCCTAGGGCTGATGTCGAATTACCAAAAGTCGCCTGTTATCCGCCGGAGCGAGCCCGATATGTTCAAGGCAGCGAAGGGCTTGCAGCGTCTAAGAAGCGTGGAAATCTCAAACGACTACAGCGCAGCTTGCGCTCTCTTCCTGGGCCAGACCATGTACGTGTTCGACGTACTCACGGCGCCATACTCCAGTACAGCGCACTCTATCGTCCGGAGCTCCCTCATGTCGACCAAAGCATGGCTCCCCAGACTAGTGCAAGCCCCGATCATGGACACGATAACCATGTCCCCGATTCTGATCGACACGGTCGAGTGCCTAGTGCACCGTGAAATCCCTATAATACGACTCGACCCCCAGCGTCGCGTCATCGTTGACCGCTATCTTGGCCTTTGCGCGACACTCCTCCCTCACCTCTATGACATCTGCGAATGCAGCAATACCTTGAAGATACAAGCTCCTCCTGTCGGTTCTGAAGCACACACAGCCCTTCACGACCGACTGGATGGGCTAGAGCAGACGATCAGACGCTGGCGGCCCCAAACTCCTTCCGGACTATTCGAAAGCTACGGCCAACATGCGGTTCTCGCAATGGTAACACAAGCGAACGTGTACCGTCTAGCAGCCTTATTGATCCTCCACCGGCTGCGGTATCCGCTAGGAGTCGAGGATGGGGCCGCGTGGAAACTCGCAAATGGAATATTCTCTGAATTGTCGTTCTTTGCCAAATCGGCGGTCAATGGAAAGGAATCTAGTGCGCTGCCGGTGGTGTTTCCTTTGACGATGGCTATGTTTGAGATATATGGGCCTGGAGAAGATTTGCTGGAACGCTTGACTTCGTTCACGGTTCAGATCTCGTGTGTGGGACGGCTGCAGGAATTTGTGAAGCTGGCTAGGGCTTCGAGGGAGTCTGGGTTTGGGGGGATTTGGTTTGATTTGGTTGATGCGCATCTTCGTGTTGCGGTACCGCCGTAGTTGGGGTTTGGTCTCACGGCAATCCTTCTTGTATAGTATTATTTGGGATGATGGATGGTCTAATGGTCTTCAAACTACTGTCTACTGAATGGGAATAATTGAGCAGCTATCATCCAATCATAACAATCCTTCCAAGTTAGATCTCAAGAAATGTCCCTTCAAATTCTTCCATATTGAATTGATCAAAATGAAGCAACCAGACCGTCAACAACATACCAAAAGCCAAGCCTTCACTATCGCTCAAGCGCGATCAGCTCGATCCAGCACCATATCCCCAATCCTCAAAACCTCCCACCCATGCTCCAGCATCGACAAACCAACAGTATCATGCCACGCCCTCCGATAATAAATAGCCTCCCGCTCACGACCTTCATCCACAAATCCAGGCCTCCGATAAAGCCTCAAAGCATTATGATTGAACGAAAACGCGCCTATAGAAACCCTATGCAGACCACCATGCTGAAAAGCCCAATGCAAAGCCCAGTTAATCGCCTCGCCGCCGTATCCTTTCCCGCGGTACCCGTCCGCAGTTGAGATTCCTATCACTGCATTGCGATGGTGCGCGTAGTCTAGTCCGGTCAAGCTGGAAAGGCTCAAGTGGCCGGTTGGGACTGGCTTGGAGTTTGAATTTTGGACTGGTGCATCTGGAGTTTGGGCCGAGGAAAGAAGCGAGGGGTCGGTTTCGGTTCCTGCTTCTGTGCGGGACTTTTGTGCAGGGAGACATATGACTACTCCTAGAATGCGGTCTTGGAGTCCGCTGATGAAGTCCCTTGCGGACTTTTTGTGAGATGGGCGCGGGAGACGGCCGGTGCTTAGGGTTTGGATTATAGGGTCGTTGATGAGATCGTGGAAAAATGCAATGTCTTCTTCATTGTGTTCTGGGGCGAGGTAGATGAGTTGCTTGGACTTGGAGAGGTCCTGTAACTAATTCAGCCAGCTGAGATAGGGATCTGCTAAGTGGACGTTTGGTCGAGTTTCGTATTGTTTACTTCACTGAACAAGAAACTAATCGTAACAAGAATGCGAAATATGTAGACATCAAAAACTAGATTTTAGCCAAATCAATCCCGATGCGGTCCACGATCCTTCTCCCAAAACCAATGATAAAGGGTCCGCCACTCGGCCGCTTCGTCTTCAACATAATCGCCGACCAGCTCAGCCGTCTCATTGAGTTCGTCAGAAATCGCCGAAGAATCCTTCAGACCCGAAGAAGCATCGATGCCGCTATCCGCATTCCTTGCAGCATCAGCAGCGTCCGCGAAGTTTGATGTCATATCAACAGCGTTACCGCCAGAACCAGCCTTCAGCAGCTCCTCGGCACCTTCCCTTGTCCTCTCTGCTAAGTCACGCGCTCCTTCGCGCGCGATCTCAGAATACTCCTCCGCCTGTTCGCGGGCACGCTGGATAAGTTCGTCGGGCGAAGGATAGCGATGTCCCAGCAACAGCAGGAGGTAGTAGCTCTTGATTATAAACGCGTACACGGCGTCTTTCACGAGCATTGTGAAGCCGTGCGAGAAGAAGCCTTTTAGCACTTCACCCTGGAGACCGGCGTAGAGTCCTGATATACCATCTGTGCGGGCGATGGTGGCGACTGTGGAAAGTATTTCGGGGGTGAGAGAGGCGAGAACAGAGGCCCGAGTCTTCTCCGCAGACTCGGACTTGGGCTTGGAGATCGAGCTCATTACTTGAGCTCTGGTTTTCGCGAGGGAGAATGGATATGTGATTGACGAGGCGGCGACCTTACTTAGGGCTGCCAAAAGGAATGTCAAAGCCGGATGAGATTTGTCGCGCTTCGAGCGTGGTAGGAAGGTCCGTTTGAGGAATTCATTAAGGAAGAACGTGAGCGACGGATTCAAAGTCAGTATCAGGGTGGCCGAGTATCCAGACCAAAAGCCTAGGATACCCTTCTCAGAGCGGATGCGAGCTGCGATGTCACTGGTTGACAGGTTCTTCGCATTCCCGCCCTTGCGCGCCGCAGCCGTCTGCTTGCGCGCGACGATATTTGACAGTGGTGTGGTGAACAGCTTGGCAAACGAGCCAGCCAATATCCCAACGGCAAGTTCGTCGATTATCGGAAGAACAATATTCTTGCTCTTGGCAGCTCGTTCTACACCTACACGTGCGACTATCCTCTTCTGGCGAAGGGCACTATATGCAAGGAAGAAAAGGAACGAATCCGCGACGGTCTTCCAAGTATCCTGCGCCAGACCGGGGTAGAACCCGGAGATGCCTTCCTGCGCGTATATTTTGCGAGCAGCGTCCGCCACGCTGGTATATCCTTCGTCGGTATTCTTATTATCTTCTGATTTTTCGCTCGAGTTGGTGTCCTTCTGCTTCTGGGTCTGTAGACGGGCGACGATGACATTGAGTGGGTAGACGACCACATTCGAGATGGCTGCGCCGACTGCACCGGCGGTTGCATTTCCTAGGGCTGGGAGGGCTGGTCCACGGGCAGCGGCTGATTGCCAGTCGCGCGGGTCATGGGCTTCGTAGCGGTAGGAGGGGTGGTATACGTCCTTGATTGTGAGTATGTTAGTATGGCCTGATAGGGATGCACATGCGGATGTGTGAGAAATAGATGCGATTGGGTTCTTAGAACACACCAGTTGGGACTCGTAGGATATTTTGTATTCGGCCATGGCTCTGTTGGTGCTCGAGTACTCGAGTTCGAGATCCACTTCTGGGGAATTGATGATTTGTTACGAGCCGGATCAGGCCATTCAACCTCTAATATCCGTTTCAAACAGAATGCGCAGGAGTGAGGTATTTCGGATATGAATTGAAATGATGATAATTACAGACAGTGGCAAGATTCTCATAAGTTACAAACGTGATCTCTTGGATTAAAGCCGAGGTCCACTACCCCCGGGGGCCATGTGGATGGATTACATCATGTCGATCATGGCCATAAATGGTCCGTGCACATATCAGGCCACAAGGCAGTCAATTCAATTCCTACATACATCGTACATCGTACTCATTACATTCAAGTGAGAAGGGGAAAGGGAAGGGGAACCTTCTCATACACTTCATTGTTTGATCCCCATATCAATACATCCCCCACCCCCTTCCCCCCGGACTCCAATTCAAACACTTAGCGGCTCGGGTGGAATTCAACGCTCCTTGTTACCCACGGAAGGGTGCACGTGACCTTACTGTAGCTAGTTACCCCGCTGCCGTAGCTAGCCAATACATCATGATCATTCCCCTGAGCTACCAGTATATCATCTGGTAGCATGTCCGTTCCGATCTAGGAGTAGCTCCTTTTTTGATGAAGGACCCTAGTTTTGTTTTTCTCATCAAAGTTTTAACCAGCAGCACTGGCAGCCGGTACTACGCCATATCTTAGGCGACACCGGTACCTAGTATCGCTACTATCCAAATAGGCAGTCAAACCGGCAGAAAGCGATCACCCCGCCCCTTACCCTCAACAGCCTACCCTATACCGTGGTAGGTTGATGTAAAGAGTGCTTGGGAGCATTGCAAGTGCCTAGGAAAAGTGGTGTGGGAGGTGGGACGGTAAAAAAAACAGGTCTTGTGAATCTCAATTAATTTGCTGTCGGGGAGCCTGGTTTACTGGTCATCCGCGGCTGCTCGAGCAACTTCCAAGTTGCCTCTATCACCCAACACCTAAGTCTAGGGAATCATCCAATCGCGACCATTGCGAGACAATCCTCACAATGGCGTCCCAACACATTCAGGTACTCACGCCGCCCTCCAAAGATGCGACCGTCCAGGCCTTCCTCCAAAACATGCGCGCCCACAATGAGCCCGGGAGCGTCCCGCTTGTCTTTGGCGGGGGCCAACTCCATGCGGAAATGCCTCTCCTCCTCAACGTGCCTGGCGCGCCGCTCCCGTGCAGGGAGCCGGGGGCCGACTTCGAGGCCGTCAACGCCCACTTTTCAGCCCAAGTGCACGCCTTTTTCAACGGTCTGCACGAGATCGAAGACATGGCAGCCAAGCAGTCCCCAGACGAGCCAGCCTTGATCGACGCTGATCGAGGTCTTCAGCCCGGCATCTACATTGGCAACCAGGTAATCGAGTCTGATCCCGACGCATGGGGTGGTGACCGCAACTGCTTGCACCGTGCCTTCCATAGTCGCCGCCTCACCGTCCAGAACGTGGATAGCCTGCCTGTCCTCAACTGCGTCACCGACCTGCTCATCGTACCCGAAGAGGCGTTTACCGGGAAACCGTTTGGTATGCGACCCGTCTCTATGCGCACCCCCCTCGATCTCGCTACCCGCCTTCCTCAGCTCCGCCGGCTGCTCTGCCCCTGGCTTGGGGAGCACTTCCCCATTCCCTTCACATCTAAGGCACTACGTATCATTTCCCGCGTCTGGGCAGGTCCTTGGCGCGACGACCGCGCCGAGTTCGCACGGGGTGTGCGCCAAGCCATGCCCTTATTGCCGTCCTCCCTTACCAAGGTCCGTCTTTGGTTCTGGAGGCCAAACCCGTATTGCTGGGACGAGATGGATCAAGCGGAGCAGTTACCTGACCTTATTGGTACGTCGTCGTCTATAAATAACGAGTTTAATAATGTAGACCCTGTGTCTCTTGGGCTGCGGGAGCTAGGAAGTTGCCTGGAGGAACTGGATACCTGCGCGCTTATTACCCCCGATCTTTTCCCCTCTGGGAGCGACGCTTTGTTATGGATACGCATGCGGTACCTCCGGATAGAATTCCATCCGTATGCGCCCGACGGCAGCTGGTACTTTTCCGGCCCACGAGGGGAAGATCCCTACCCAATAGGTTTCGCTATCACAAGAGAGGAGCACTACCCGCCGGGCCAGGAAAATGACGACGAGACGCACGAGTTGATGTCGGAGGAGAAGGACGAGTACTGGGACGACGCACCGGACATATACGATCTCCGCCAGCCCGACATGTTTCGTATACACCCTATTGCGGAGCGCGTTAACCCTTTACTCTTAGCGTTTGCCTTATCTCTGCAACGGCAAAATATGCCCTCCCTTCAAGACGCCGAGCTGTTTACCTGGCTTACGTGGCGGCCCTCTAATGAGCGGGCCGAAGAGTATGAAGGGAGTGATGAGGTGCCTCCTTCCTCGGGTGTGGAGGGGATTTCGATAATGTTCCGATGGGGGGTGAGATATGAGGCGCCCGCTGCTGGAGGAGATGGGAAAGGAAAGGTGACGTGGCATGTCGGTGAGGACTGGAGGCCGGACGACGAAGTCATTAGGGCGTTTGAGGATCTCGTGGGCGGACAAGACGGGGAGGGCAACATGGTGTGGAAAGCACTTGAGTTTGTGGAAGAGAGGGAGCAAGACCCTCAGGACTTTCTGTGACGAGAATCAAATTTTCTAGGTAATGTACTGAATCAACACGGCTGGCCGGTAACTTTGAATAGAGCAGATTCAAATGTCAAATTCAAGCAATGAAGGCCCGACAATCGCTCACAGCTGTTCACCAACAAGCACAAAAGACAACTTCTTCGATCAATTCTTATCCCACCCCCTCCTATCTACCTATCTAAGCACTAAGGCCAACATAATACGCCTCGCCCAACCGATAATTTGTCACGCAATCGCCACTCACGGCCGGGTTTTAGGCAATGAGCTGCGCCTCGGTGATGTTGGCCGCCGCGGCCACGGCCTCACACGTCGCATTCACGGGCACGGTGACAGTGGTGCACTGGTTGGTAATGCAGATAGAGGTGCCCGCGGCAGGGAAGTTGGTGCAAAAGACTTCCAGGTTGTTGTCGGCCAGCAGCCAGTTGGTGCCGACGCCCTGGCTCCTGGATATGGTGTAGCAGTCGTCCGATGCCTGGATGGTGTAGGTCGAGCCTTCACACACCTCGGCCGTCGGAGCGGGGGCTGCCGTGAAGTAGCCGATGGTCGTTGGTACGACGGGGCGTCCCGCAATGCCGCAACTCGCCGTCATGCTCTTGTACAGCGACATCCTGGCCGCGATGGGACCGTCGTCATACGGCGATCCCTCGCGCAGCCGCAGCCGTTCGGCCAGGCACGTATCGCAGTCGTCGGGCAGCAACTGGCCTGTGACGTTGCTGATGTAGTTGAAAGGGCTGATGCCGGGATCCGAAAACACCGCTGCCAGGGCCGCGACTGGTCTGCAGAAACGGCCCCCGTCGTCCTTGAGGCAGGCATGCTGAAAGTAGTACTGCAGCGCGCCGGGAATATAGACAGCCGCGGTCTCAACCTCAAGATCGACCGTGACCGTCTGGTTCCCGCACACGGACTGGACCGACGATCGCCATGTCTCAAGGGCAGATGAGCAGCCGGTGGTGCAGATGCGCGTCAGTGACGCGGGCGGGTAGAAAATATCCAGGCGGAGGTCCCTCACCAGCGGGTCACAGACTGTGACGTCGACAGTCAAGGCAGCGGTGCACTCCGAAGTGAGTGTCGAGGGCAGACTGTCTGGGTAGAGCAGCACCGTGGCAGATGCCGTTGATGCAATCCCGAGAGGGAGCAGCAGGTTGACGAGGGAAGTCTACATCATGAAGGTTGTCCAAGCCCAATCCTGATAGCGGCGCGACTTGCCTTTGGACCTTTAATCAGTTAGGCAAGGCCGCGGCAACGACTGCTTTCAGGAGGGGAGGAAGAGAGACGACTGTTCGGACATCGCATCCAAAAGCGGGTTTCCCGGCAATCCTTCGTGCCTCTTTTATTAGAGCCTGATCCTTTTCAGCCGGACGCACACACGAGAAGAGGGCTTGATTCGACCGAGGCCTCTTAAGGTCTCCTTGGCGTTTTGCTACCCCTTTTTCCAAAGTCCGCGGAGATGGGCAAGGGGTTCCCATGAAGGGGACCGTTGTATTCCTTGACAAAACATCCTAGCAGGTTATATACGATATATAGGCCTTTAGGCGTTTGAACCTACCCCCCACCCCCCAGGGAGGCTTAGTTAGTTAGTCACTTACTTGCTTACTTAAATGGCCTGCAGCCGGCTCAGCGGCTACGCTGTGGTTTAACTATTTACTTGCTTACTTACTTGCTTATAGTTCTATAATCACTGTAATATGCTAGTTTAATCTAAAGGAAAAGAGTATATTTACTCTAGGATTCTAAGTATAGAGGAGAGAGAGAAAGGGAAAACTATCTATGCGTTCTTACGACCTAGTTTTATATAGTCCTTACTTAATGGATTAGGAAGGAGCGACTCCTTCCTATTAATCCTTCCTATTATGGAAAATACGGATATAGCAGGTGCGATAGTCGAGGATTAGGAAGGGCAAGTACAACCGTCTAATTCGGAGTCGAATGGTACATCTCATATCATTCTAATGCGTAGCACGCAAATAGTCATCACATGGCTAGCCAATACATCATGATCATTCCCCTGAGCTACTAGTGTGTCACTCCTCGCTGAATAAAAGGACGTGCCCATCGGACGTCGCCGTCAAACCCCCAGTCAATCTTCTTGTCGGCACATGATGGTTTCGATTTGCCGGTAATCCAGGACTTGACATAGTCGGCGGAGTTTTCGATTGTTGTCAACTTCACTCCAGCCTGGTTTGTGACTCTGGAGAGTTCCGAAAAGATACACTCACCTTCGCCCTCAAAGGGAGCCTCGATTTTGATCTCTTTCAGGCATTCGAAGTGGTGAGGCTCCAGAGACATGGGAACTGTTCTGCTCTGGAGACTTGCGCACAGCTTCTCACACAAGAGCATGAATTCGAGAACATCTAGAATTTGAATGATGTGTAGCTCCTCAAGTGACTCTGGAAGTAGCTTGTGCAAAGGAAGATTTCTGTTGTATGCTCCATCCACGTCATGTAACCGCCAGTGACGACCTTCATAGTGTGCCGATTTTGTTTCAGTCTGGACAAGGTAGCCGGCCGAAATCCGGAGTCTCTTCAGATGAGAAAGCCCCGATAGGTTGAGAGGATGGAGATACAATTCTTCGTGGATCTTTCTATCGGTTCGATTGAATGATAGTTCAAGACAGGTCAGGGTGTGAGACCTGTACTGAAGCGCTTGGCTGAGGTCCGCAGCCTTCACGACCCAATCTTTTGCCTCTGTCCACCCGCGTTCGTAGATGAAGGTTTCCAAGATGTGGGTTTGTCGGAGCAGTCTTCGAAGATTCAGGGCGTCAAAAGTGCAGTCGCGAAGTTCAAGGTGAACGAGGCGATGGGAACTGCCAGGTACAGGTCGCAGCCACCGTTGTGCGTTGGACCATTTGGTGCCGAATACGTGGGTCAACGTGGGAATTCGAAGAAGCATCATGAGCCAATCAATGTCAGCCATGGGCGATTTTCCGTCGACTTCGGCCTTCAGGTGAGTGAGCTTAGACAGCGTAGGTGTAAGAGCATTTGAAATGCCATTTTCGTCGGTCTGAGCCGAGCGCGCACCGGCGATACTGATCAGAACACGTTCAATAAGGTTCAACTCTGTGGTTTGCGGTTCGCGGAACGGATCTTCACTCTCCATCGCGATTTCGAGGTGCTTTAGGGCAGGCAGGTACCCCAGAAGAACAGCTACCATGGCATCTGACCGGGGTACATCGCAACCAAGGGCTTTGCGCATCGCCACCCTGATTGTTGAATACAAAGGTAATTTCATGGCGGCGTCCATAATCATTTGATGGTCTTGAGGAGCGAGAGGATTAAGAAGAAGCTGTCTTCTCTGAGTACTACTCTGCCTGTGCTCGAAGCAAAGGTCGTGTAGGTCGGTCACGTCGAGGGATTTCACGAATTCTGCAAGGTGAGGCTTGCGGAGGATTGTTATAAGAAAGCGTTCGATCTGTTTATTTGTCATGAGAGAGCGAACATTGATTCCCGGAAGAGAGGAAGTTACAGAACGACGATCAGCGGGAAATGCCAAACCGGGCCACATCCGGTAATGAGGGACAGCTCCCAAAGACACATTGGCGTACAGTGCAGGGATCGCCATGTTATAAAGCTCCCTGTTGCAGGCAGCTAGATGGCTCAGTGTGTAGGTGTCACGATCAAGCTGGTCAATGATGAGAAGCTTGATTTCTGCTGGTAGGGTTTGGAATTCCGTCTTTGGGGTAGGAGGGGTTGGAAAACAGAGAGGGACAAGACTCATCGGTATGAAGAGTGCCATCTTGGTGAAATCTGACTTGTGATTGAAGACAGAAAGGGGAAAAAAGGATGGAAAGGAGTGATGAAAAGAAAGTGATGGTGGAGTGATAAACAGGAGTAAAGGAAAAGGAGGATGGAAGGTGTAGATGAATGGCCGTCAAGTCAGTCACCTGCGCAACCTGACCCTAACACAGTCACTCGCCATTGCGATTGTTTACATCGTCGACGTACAAACTTGACAGCACTCACATTGAACATCCGACAATGGGGCTTTCGTATAGGAACAAGTATGATTATTTCAGATATGGCATGGATTATCAAGTTGGGTCATTCGTTTTAAATCCAAATAGAATATTTCCATTCCTATTTACGATAACCTGATCTGATGGCTATATCAATCACAACGGAACTTGATGTCTCATTAGAAGCATTGGAGAAAACCACTTGCCAACATCACCACCGTACATAGACCGAGTGCATACAATCCTTCTAGCTTCCAAGGACCAAGGCAGTGCTTGTAGCTACCACAGACTATATGCGAGTGGTTGAATTCGAGCGGACCAAGCCACGGCCCTTGATTGGGCCAGTGAAGTATGCCCGACCTGCAATCCCATATTGCAAAAATCAGCTGATAGTGATGGTTCACAGCTAGAAATAGGAAAGTGCAATGCTCCCTAGGTCGTAGTATAGACCTAGTCAGAGGTGCAAAGTCATCAGGGTCCTTGCTGCGGTCCTCAACAGTCAGTGAAGCAGTACCATAGAGCGATGTGGGACCAAAGCTCTCGACGAGAATACCACGAGCAGAGTACAGTACTAACTGATCTTGTGGAACAATATCAAAATCTTGATCGGCAGTCTAGGCCCAGAGGCTTTTGATATATGCAGATGCACCTTGAGTGATATGCATTAGGAGAGAAGCCGCGATACAATGCTTGTTCAGCGTCGAAGCCCATTCGGACAATGCGTAGTTTGGAGCATATTTGCTCTACCCACACGGGAATGAACGTCTAAAATCAAATGGTTAGAGTGTAGACTGAAGTGATAAATCTCAAAGCCGCTCACTTGCACCATAAGCCCACCGAACCTTGAGTTGAATGGTGATTGTTCCATTCCACAACAATGGCACCTCAGGGATTCTAGGTACCTAAGTACCATGCAACAAGCCAACGTGAATATTCTTTACTATTATCAATAGACAGCCGGTAATGCTTGGGAGATAATAGGAATCTATCTTATTCTATTTCATCACAATCCTAAAGGTGGCGACAATTCGGCCTCATTTTGTACCTGATGTGTATCAAGATTTCCGAAAAAGAAAAAGAAGAGAACAGGCTTCAGGCGTAAGTTCATGCAGACTTCCGACAACACCCACCCTCGGACCGAGCTCACTGAGATTTCCTCTCATTCTGGGACTCTGCCGCCACAAAGGCACCGCGTAGCTCCTTCGCTGCCTCCCACAGCACCCACAGAGGGATAAAGACCCAGAGGGTGTTGAAAAAGAACAAGTACAGCCAAAGGTAAACCGGATCCTCGGTAGCCAGCTGCGAGCTTCCCGTCAGCCACTCCGGTGCAAAGGTCATGAATCCACCATACAACTCCGCCGTAGCCAGCACTGTTGAAACCAGCCACAGCGTTGCCTTAACACCGCCCCGGGATCTGGCACTGATCTTCTCATTTGACGACTGGCACAGCAGATAGCAGATGTATATTGCAGCCGGACCACCGAGGAAGACGGTCAATAACTCCAGCGAGACGACAGTCAAATCAGCGCCAGCCCAGCGGCGGTCAGCCTTGGCGTATTCCTGCCACAAACGTGACGCAGGTCCACTCCCATAGGCGGGACCGTAGACACGAGTGGGGTCATTGAGGAAGAAGGGCTCCACGTTATGATTCCCAGTGACAGTGGTATAGCTGAAGAAGCATTCGTAGAGGAAGGAGCCTTCGATGAAGATGTGGGTGAGAGCATCATAGGCGTGCCAGAAGAAGAGGACACGATCGCGTGTCCTGTGGGCTGGGACAAGTGTCTTGCTCAAAATGTACGCAATTGGCATCATAGAAAGTGAGAATACGATACAGAGGACTGTCGTGGCGTCTAAGGTGAAGGACGCGGTGGACGCCATGGTGGATTGATTAATTGGATATCGTGTGAGGCTCTATAATGGTAGGCAAGCTTGTAGATGTCTCGGCCTAGTGAAATCAACACTTTCCGATGTACTTCATGCTTTGTGGAATCAATTGAGAGCTGGATGAGGTGTCTGATAGGAACGAAAATAAAAAATTAGGGGCTGAGCTGTCGCGACGATCAAAAGTTGGCGCCTCAGGCAGAAAGTGGGTCGCAGATGTCGATCTCTGAGAGCTCGCAGAGTACGGAGGAGTTATATTTATATTTCCTTTGTCATTGGAAAGCAATATCCTTGCAGCTGATTGCATATTGCAATGTTTGATTTCGTTTGAACTACCTTGACAGCAAACTGCAGGGAATAAGTGGACGGCTTCCATGCGTCCAACTTCATGTCCTACCCAAGACGGAACACACCAATCTGGGAGAAAATCAAATAATCCTCTGGCTGCTAGATCGTTTGCATAGTTGCAGTCCAGCTTTCGGTTATCCGACGCCACTTTTACTGCACTTCTTTGTTTGGTTGCAGCACACACAGAGCCTAGCGGCGCATTGTCAAAGAAATATGCATTTTGGAAAGGCCGTCTGCGTTCCCCACCGATACTCATTCATACCATTGATTCGGTTTGCCAAAGCATATGCCGTGCCAATCTCTGACTCGGAATAAGTACCTATTGGGAGCAGCCATCGAATAGTCGATCTTCATATTAGCTCGGAACGCTTGGCGGGTTATCATTCGAGGCTGTCTCTTTCATGGGTGACTAGAATGGCTAAGCAATGTTCGGCCTGTCCCCGGGAAACGCTTTATTATATTTTACTGCCTGGCTCAGCTCGTATCCATTGAAAGACATTTTGTTTACATAGTCTTGTGGATCATGACTGCGGAAAGCCGCACCTCTCACAGCTTCGTGTCCGTTCTCTCTCAAAAAAATCTAGTCTCATCGAGGTGAATTCCTTTTGTCAAGGATGCCTTCAAGTCTCGGAGTTATCGAGATCCCTGCCCTCGCCAAGGTGACATGGGACCTATACAGCCAATGCCAGATCATTGCGAAAGATGCCCCCGCAGGATTTCAAAAGCTGGCGACTGAGCTGGGCTCCTTACAGGGCACCTTACGCACCTTTGTTGACAATGTGGATTTCAAGGCATCATTTCTTGAGAAGATGGATGAAAATTGCAAACAGACGTTTGAACGATCCCTCGGTGCGTGCTTCGCGACCCTACAGCGACTAAAAGAGCTCCTTTCCCGGCTTAAGGGCTTCGAAACTGGAGATGGAAAGGGTTTCTGGCAAAAGATCAAGTGGGTGACACAACGAACTCAGATTGAGGATCTCAGATCCGAAATCACGGTACACACCTGCAATCTGAGCCAATATATGAGCTCTATAGGGAAGTAAGTCTGCTTTGATTGTCCCAGATCCAGGCCCATGGTCTAATTTGTCTAGACCCTCGCTTGCTCGCATAGAGAAAACAATTGTTCTGGCGACGGGAGAAGATGAGCAGATCGTTCTCAGTACAGCGGCATCACCTGTTCGGGATACAGACTCCGTTGTCTCGCCGATGAGCCCTGGCCAGGGCATCGTGGAGCTACCAGCTAACAACGAAGAAAAATGCGAAATGGATATAATCGAGGAAGTTCGCGCCAAAATGTTGGAGTTGGCTAATAACAGAAGCTCAGTGGGCAGTAGCAGCAAGGTCAAACATACGTCTACATCCTCCAAATCGTCGATAACTGAATCGGATGAGTCGCCCCTCGATGATACCTCGCCAACTTCCTGGTTAACCTTGAACACGTCGCCATTTGTACCTACTTGGGGCCGCATAAATCATACCCGAATGCGCAGTGAGCAACTTCTCTTTGGCGGCTCGATTGACGGCGGGACACTCGATGATGGGATATGGGCGAACAACTCCGACCAGGCGGAGGAGCAAGTCGTACAGCAAACTCGATCCTACTCTGATGATGAATATGGCTCTCCTCACATTATCGAGGCTGTGACGCCCGCTATGCAACATCTTCGTGATGTTCGGCACCAGGAGCATATCTCAAGGCCAATACGGTTTGAGCCGCAGAATAAATTGCATAGACCAACTGCGGAAACATTGAAAACATTCAAGGCATCAGTCAATGACGGGTTGCAGATTATAAGGCTAGCCACAAGAGATTGGTTGCGCGTGGCAACTTGGTGGTTGTTGAAAGTGAGCTCGTGTAGAACAAATAGGTGCAATATTTACTAACAGTTATCAAGGCGCGCACGACTTTGGCGAATTGCAACAGACATAACTATGTCAGCGCCCGTGGCAGTCTGAGTCCCTCCATGGAATCGAGATCGCCTAGTCACCAAGCTTATCTTGATCTGCTCAAGGCTTCATATATTCTGTACGATATCGTTCTGGAGGAAGAGCCCTCTCCTGCTCTTTTGGTTGACGAGGATCGCAAGTCAATTGTTGAGCTTTCTGAAGTCGGTGCCGTGGTATGATTACTTCAATCTGTCGCTAATTCAATATAGGGCATTAACGAGGAGCTTTCCCAATATACTTCCGTCGACATCCCCGAACCGTCGCATCTACATGCCCAAAACCTTGACATTTGGGAGCCCATGCAGCCGGAGGAAACTTGGAATGGCAGCATTAATCTAGATCTTGGTTTGGATAATTTGCGCTGGATCGCTGTCGACCTAGAGGATGCAGGTAACGAACAGGAAAAGGTTCTCTACCGCACCTTTGTCAACGCCTGCATCGGGGGCAAAAGGTTTCGCATGCGCACCAAGGGTGCTCCCTACATGCTCTTGCTGGTAACACGGGAAGGTGAAAGCGAGCCAAAGATTGTCCTTTGCAACCAAAGTGGCACTCTGTGCCTTGAACGAGACTGTAAGTGACGATTCTCATAATACCCTCTTATAAAACTAACCGTTATTAGTCGTACTAGATGATCTGTCGCCCCTTGTACAATTATCAAATGCATATTTGACTGGCTTCCCTGGCGCTAGAGTCTCAGAACCTGTGCCATTCAAATTTGATAATATGAGCGTTTCGATATCCTTCCAGTTTGATAGAGACCTAGCACAGTTCATCAATATCCCAAAGGCTTATTTTGACGCCGTATGGCAAAGAGAACCATTTGATTCAACCGAATTTACCGAGAGCGTTATTTTCAAGACCTCGGGGGATATCTTCGAGCAGCTGAACACGCCAACCATGAAACCAATGAATCCGCCTGTTATGGTGAAATCCTGCGAGGTGCGCATTCTGGAACGATCTTTTAGAGAAGCCTGGCGGTCTATCCGACGCATAGTGATCACTTCCTCTGCTGCTGAGAAGGCCCCACGAACGATGGAACTTTTTATGCCTCTCAGTGCAGTTCAGATCAGCCGAGGAAATATGTCCCGTCAAGTGGTCTTGCAGTGGTCCGACACATGCCAGGTGCGATCTGACAAGACTGATGGCAATTACAACCCCTTGCACTCTTATGTGTATGACGAGACAGCACCAAATATCGGTGTCGGTCTACAATTCCACTCACATCAAGAAGCGGAAGATTTTGAAAAAGCCGTCCTAGAGATGAATTTCCATCCGAATTTTTCCTGGTCACAACCCAGCAGCTCCGGACTTATCTACAATGTGGTTGATACTGGCACTGAGCACAAGCAATACAAAGCCGTGCTAGTATTCCGAACTCGTGCACCATGGCGATATTCAGATTTGTACTATATTTACCGTGACGCCGACTATATATACGACCACTCCTCGTTCAGCATCCATTTCCCCCGCATCTACTGCACAGACTACATCTCAACTCACGTTGACCAGCTCTACCATCCAGAAGGCCCCGTCACATTCTCCCACTCTGACAAGAAGACCAGTGAAACAACCATCGAGTTTGGAAACGACCCTGTAGCCCGCTCATTCCTCAGCTCCCTCTCTCCTCTATACGAACTCCTCTATTCCCGGCGGATCCAGTCCCTATCAACGAAAGGTAACTCGCTCTTTGGGTTCCAAATGTCCACCAAGCGCAGCGCCGATATCCAACTATGGCGCCGAGGAACAGCTTTTCAACTTGCCGCACGGTGGGATGAGTCCGTGCCGGATAAGTGGCTTACTATGGCTGTTCCGTCGGAGTTCATTGATTGCTCAAAAGAGAATACCCGACTCACCCTTCCGCGTCTTCCATACATGCGTGGTACGACACTTGACATGATGAATGTTATGGCTCGGAGTTCTAAGAATCCCATTGTCAAAAACAAAGAGGGTGCCATGTCAATTTCCTTTCAAACAAGTGAAGGTAAGTGTAGCTTCTCCTTTCGTAACTCTTTCTACTGTGCTAATCTATATCGAGATGGTTCAAAGACCGAGACGAGTTTCTGGCTGTGTTACAAGGGCAGCAGTTGCCGAAGTTCCTATGAATCCTATGGAAATCTCTCATCTAATCAGATTGAATACACCATTTCAAAATTACTCCTTGAAGGACCACTTTTTTTCTTATAGGACTCTAATAATAATTCTCAAAAAATGGAAGCTCTCGGGATGTGATAAAAAAAAGGCCATTCAGGCGGAAAATATTTGACGACAGCGTTCCATGCCGTACGACCACAGTTCTACCTGAGGTTTCAAGTCAGAATCGTAGTTAAGTACATAAAATATGTCATTAAACTCTAAATAGACCTGCAGTATGTACAGCGGAGCTAGACACTTATGCACGAGAAGTATCAACGACTTTCCCAGAACTGAGCATCCATAGCAACCAACCGATTGAACAGTTGGTTCCGTGATCTCATACCAGTAAGATGATAAGACTGGCCCAGCTCATCACCGCTAACAACCAGCCCATCTGCAGCCTCCTTGCTCCCAGCCGTCAATTCAACGATCAATTTCCCCTTCCACCCTAGTCCCTCCGTCTTCTTCAGCTCTTTGATTTCGGTGACAGGAATCTGGAACAGAACAGATCCCTTCTTCCTACTTTCTATGCGTAAATCATCCAGCCCGGCGGATTGATATGTGGTAAAATACAAGATAGGAGGCTCCTTCGACGAGTCAATGACTGCTGCGCCTCTCTTACGTTCGAACTTCGCATCGAACTTCAAGGGCCCCAGAGGCGTTGAGGCAAAGTGCCCATTTTGCAGCATGCTAAGCAAATTCTTGGTATGTGCTGACCCTGCGATGGCAATAGCCCGGTCAAAGGCGATATGCCCCTTGATTGCCGTGGCAATTGTGCGGCGGAAGAATTTGAAGAGCCTGAACACGAATTTCTTCTTTGGCACCTTGGTTTCTGAAAGCGATGTGGTGGAGACCGTCGACGGAAGGTCCACGGATGATCCTTGCCTGCTGACGTCGGTAGAGCTCGCTGCCTGTGACTTTTTACGGCGCAGGGGCCATACCGGCTCGTTATCATCAGATGACGGGGCGGGTGGTAATGGCGAAGAATTAATTTCGCCAATTCGAAGCAGGGTCAAAGTGAGCTGTGCATTTGTGGGAACGCCAGCCAAAAGTGTCCTGTAGCCGAGTCAGCAACGTAATAAAGAAAGAAATGAGAGCTATCATACTTATTTAAATCGAGCTGGTCTCTCCAGTTTGGTACTTTTCTGTCCAGCATATCAAGGGTGTAGGTGAATATTGGGTCTCCAAAGAAACCCAGTCCAAGTGCGAAGCCGATTATCTTGATGATCCAATAACTAGATGTGAATGATACAATAACAGACACCAGGGTAAAGATGCCCGCAAGTCGGAGTCTAGATGTAACCAAAAGGAACGGAGGTGTTGGAGAAAGGATGCTGTTGTACCATTAGTATGTGTTCATATATCCTTCCAGAATTGACTCACTTGGCGAATTTCTCATACGTATCAGTAATATCGCTCAGCATACGCATGACATTATCAGTCGCATGTGATACCTTCTTTTTCATGGGTTTCTTGGTTTTGTCTTCAGGAGAATCGCCGGCCGGGGTTTCGGCTGCAGCCTCTACAGCTTCTAAGCTTTCAATGAGCGCAGGCCCGTCGGATGAGTCGTCTGTAACCGTTTGACCATATTTGGCCGCCGCACTCTCCATAGCAACAGTGGCAAAGCTGTCAACCATATTTTTGGCTTCTTGTTCAGCGGTTTCACCCTTGTGGGTTTCAGGGGCACCCGTGAGGCTATCTTCGGATTGTACTTGTCCTCCTTTTGAATTTTTTCCATTTGGGCCATCGGCTCTTGCCAGCCCAGGGAATAATAATAGCCGAACAGGCGGAACCATTATTAAAGCTACGACAAGACCCATAATGGTTGGAACTAAGAGATCCAGGGCCCAAGCAACGAAGTAGCCCTGCAAATTATTAATATCTTGTACAGAATCTGGCTGTTCGTAATCCACATACCGTGCAGAACATTGTCGTTCTCGCTGGTTCCTTCCATGATCGCAAGCGAGTGATATGGCGGATGAACTCGGTCACTCCGACAACCACGGAAATATAAAACCTCTCAAGCGTCATGCGCAGCTTTTCCGGCGGAAACTTCTCATTTTCAGTGCGATTGAGATCCAAGTTCAAAGCAGCAGTATCACGAACCGCTTTCACATGGTAGATTTGCTGGTCACATGTCAGCAATTATTCTCGACAACTAGAGATTACACCAACCTTGTCGAATCGGCGGATCAACATCCAAAGGTCCTCATTGGACAGGCCCTTAGCAAGAGTCTCCTCTACTTGCCGCGACGATGCCTTCCATTGAGTGTTGGGTGGCGGTCTCGGACTCAGTGTTTGGAGAGGGCCACTCTCCGGCGGGGTCTGAGTGAGGTCATTGCTCTCATCCTCCAACTGCCCTGGCATTTGTGATCCATGGCTCATCTTTAACAGCTATCGAGGAAAATGCAGGAGAGACCTAGGGAAGCTTGGTATTGCTTACCACCCTGGGCGGAGGTCCGGCTAGCAAGAGTGGGGGCTGACGTCATTTGAATATTTTTAGATTGACCCCTGATTCTGAATATGGAAGGCGGTATCCCTGCAAATGGCAGATATTCTTCTTACAACATTGCAGTTCGCTTGTCAGTGCACTCTAAGTGTATATATTGTAGAAGTGAACCTTGAAATTATATTATGTACAGAACATGCATGATGTACTCCGTACGCCGTGGGCCGTTACTGTCACATTGCATTGGACAACCCGACCACCTTCCCCAGTAGCCACATATTTCAGATAATGACACCCGCGACTATCATTCCGCGTGCACATTATCCGTCTGCAAAATCTCCATAAACCCCACGAAATTCTTCTCCTCGGCGATCGACCAGGGTGTCTGCCCATGCACGTTGGTCCGATGCACCAACTGCGGGGCTTTTTCCACAAACAACGCCAATGTCCGTCGAACTTCAATCGACGCAAAGTGATCATTGGAGCAGTCAAGGTCAGCCAGATAATGCAGTACATTGTTTCCCTCGTAATCTATTGCACTCAAATCCGCTCCTCGTTCATACAAGGTCATTGCACGCGTGGGGTCGCCCTCCTTCCAGGGCGCCGGGCCAAGGCGTCCACCTCGGAATGGATACGCCGAGACCGTGCAGGCGTACGAGTCGGTTCCAGTCAGACAGCTGGCCGCTGCCAGGAGCAGAGTTCTTCCTGCATGGTCGCGTTGTGCGAGGTCGAGGTTGGGCATGTCGAGCCATGGTTGGATAATTCCTCCGCTGGCGAAGATCTCGTGTAGAATCGTTTGGTTCTCGTGGCAAGGCAGGAAGGGATCGGCCCCGCGTTCAACCAGTAGTTTAATCATCCTGCAGGCTTGGTCGCGGGAGTTGGCCTCGTTAAATGGTACCATTGAGATGTAGAGAAGAGGACTCAAGATGAGCCCGTGCGTTGCCGGAACTTTTTGGAAACGGTGGGTGTGCCAATGTGGCTGCGCGTCGGATAATACAGTCGTGTTGCAGTCTAGGTCCATGTCCAAAAGAGCGGAGACAGCGTCTTCGTTGAAACTATACAATGCAACGAATAGTTCCATGGGGTGTTCCTGGGAAGGGTATGCTCCATGTTCGATCAGTAATTGGAACAACTCGGTGTCATGCGCCGACATAGCCAGAGGGGTATAGCCACACGCCGCAGTGATGTTAGGATCGGCACCGCCCTCCAGCAAGATTCTGGTGATTTTGAGCTGGCGGTGGCCACCCAGCTCTCCCCGTGCAACTGCATTGCATAGAGGCGTCTTGCCTTGATCATTTTGGGCATTGGGGTCCGCTCCATGTTTCAGGAGGTACTGGATGGCTCCTTCATGCCACCAATGTATGCCTTGGGCCAGTTGATGAAGGATCGTGTCACCCGGCTTGTAATGTCGATCCAGTGCCATCGTTGATTGGTAGTGTACAGTGGGTTTATCAACCATACCCGCTTCAAATCTGATGTTAACATCCGCGTTGAACTTCTCAACCATCAGCTGAATAACATCTAGGTTGGGAAGGTCTCGCTGACCAGCTGCCAGGAGATATGGGGTCGACTTTTGGCCCCGGAAATTGGTATAGCCGCCGTTGACCCAATTGCCAGACATCGTACTCCCAATCCGGCCAAAGAGCTCCGAAAATCCCCATCTCGCGAGGGAGGACATGAGCGCTGGCATGGCAGATTTATCCTCGATAACAGAAGCACTCTTCTCCACCGCCTGTGCAACCTCCTGTTGCTGGCCGAGCAAGATCATTGGTAGCACATTGGTTTCAGAAACATACTCCCTGAATTGTTTCCCGAGAAGGTCTGGGAGGTGCTGGGAGCGCAGCAGATAGAATTCTGTCTGGAGAGGGCTAAAATCCTTCACCTCAATGCTCATTTCTCGTGACACCCGGTCCAATTCCACGACCATTTCTTCATTTCCCTCGGCTACCGCATAATGCATGGGACTAACGCCAAAAGATTTTTCATGCGCCAAAGCTCCGTGGGACGCCATTGCTCGTACGATTTGTCCGATTCCGATCGTCGAACTTTCAGATGTGATTTCTCCTTTCCATCCCAGACGTTTGGGGTTATATGTTTTTTTCATATTGGATGTGGGCTGCGTCGGCCGGTGATTGTCATCTACCAAAATACCTGCCGCGGAGCGCGTATTCATCATGTTCTGTTGGTCGTCAGCCCCCTGCCAGAGCTGGTCTTCGGCAATGGACTCGGCGCATGCATCCAGAGGGGTACGGTTGTGCTTGTCCTCGATGTTGACATCTGCTCCGTATGCGAGGAGAAGATTCACTGTCTCCAGTCTTCCAGAGCGACAGGCCACATGCAACGGCGTTCTCCCATCTTCCGATCGTGTATTGAGCATTGAATCCAACTCCTTGGGGTTGCAGTGGTCCAAGACCAGCCCAACGCAGTTACTTTGACGCGCGGTTGACGCAATATGCAACAAATTGCGGCCATCCTTCGTTGAAACTGTGGCATCAGCCCCGCGCGCGAGCAGTTTACCGACCAGTTGCTCCGAAACCGTGGTAGCAAGGTGGATAGGTCGAATTCCCTGGTGATCACTCAAGTTTAGTGCGGCACCGAGACCCGCATCTAGGAGTAAGTCGATAGCATATTTGCCTCCTTCTGCGGTTGCCGCGAATAAATAGTCTGAAGATTGACTGCATAGCATATGCAGAGGCGTCCGACCTCGGAAATTGGGAAGGGTCGGGGAGACGCCCATTTTCATGAGTTTTATCATGGCTAAAAGAGCCGTGTCTTCGCTGATGGTCGCAAAATTGGCTGCGAGATGGTGCAGGAACGAGTCTCCTTCGTAATTTACCATTTTTGGATCTGCTCCAAGGGACAGTAGAAAGTCCAAGTACTCATCTCGGAATTGATATGGTTCAATCAGATAAGATAGTACCCCGTTCCCTTTGTGATCCTGCGCGTTGATATTGGCTCCGCGGCTGATGAAATACGGAAGAAGCTCGCGACAATTCCACTGCGGGGTGCCGCGCATGGCCTTGGTGAGCAGAGTACATCCGCGATAGTCTTTAGCCTCGAGATCTCCACCGCCTGCGCAGAGAATGTCCAATACATCCTGGATATCTTGTTCAGACCCCTCAACCATGTGAATAGGCAGTTGCCCTTTATGGTTCCTCTGGTTCGGATCAATGCCAACATTCAGCAGTTCCGCTATGGTCTTGCTCCCGTGCCGATGTTTCGCGGCGGCGATATGAAGAAGCGTGTTGCCATTGTCGTCAGTGATCGACCAATCCAATACAAAGGGCTTGAACAAGGACAGATCGCCCAGCTGACATTTAGATGCATAGGCATGCAGCGGTGTGTAGCCATCTCCACTTCGCACAATATCCAGGCGGGCTCCATTCGCCATCAGGGCCTTGAACCACTCTGGGTGGTCCAGGGGGTGGTGGAAGAAATGCGCAGATGTGCCTCCCCGGTCTTCTGCGATATTTGGGTCCGCACCATGTTGCAAGAGAAATAGAATCAGGGCTACCTCACGGTGGGCAGAGAGCAGTAGTGCGGTATTTCCGTGGGCATCCTGTGCATTGATTTCGCATCCAGCATCCAGCAGTATCTGCATCAGTTCTTCGTAGCGGGGCAGGTCTTCCAACTTTTCGTAGGGATGCAGACTATCTGCCACGCCATGGAGAGGTGTGAAAGCCGGGGGCTTGTCTCCGAACCGCCCGTTCTTGGATCTGATTGTGGCATCGGCCCCATACTGAAGTAGGAGCTTGACTATGGCCAAGTCGGCTTTCTTCGAGGCCAAGAATAAAAGTGTGTCTCCCTCCACCGACGCGTTGATATCACATCGCCCGGTTTCAAGCAGAGCCTGGGCGCTGGCTATTTTACCAGATTGGCAGCATCGAGATAGAGCGACAGTCAGATCGGCAGGGTCCGCAGTGACCGCCAATTGGCGCACCTGGTCCACATCTTCTGCATCAACTGCCGCGTGGAGCGGAGAAAGAGGATCTTCCGGCTCGGGGGGCCCGTCGCTGCCCTCGAACAGCCTAGGCATTGAGCTACGGAGAGAAGACAAGAAGTCCATGATTTTTGCCGGCAAGTGTTGTGTTAGAAGTAAACGGCAGACATTGTTATGCTTTAAATAAACATTGGACCCTTGGCCTAGTCTAGGCTCCAGTGGCAAAACACAAATCACATTGCCCGAGCCTCGCCGTTAGTGTCTCACTTTATCTCGCATCGCGCACTTCTGCCTGAAGAAACGTTGGGGCTTTTTTTTTTTTTCTTGCTGAAAATATGGCCATCATAAGTCAGCCTAAATGCGTCAGTTCTATGCGTAATAGAAGCTCCCATCCGTTGTTCAATGTAAGCTTAATGAAACAAGTCTAAACCGAAAAGAAAAAAAAGAAATCTCTCCCTCGGGGAATCGAACCCCGGTCTCCCGCGCTTATCGGTTTTAATGACAAGCGGAAATCATCACCACTAGACCAAGGAAGAATGCGATGGCCGAGTTACTGCTCGGCCACTTGGCTGGTTGATAGGGAGGCTAGCCATCTTTATTATTATAAGCCAGACTTTTACCGAACATCTTCAATCCAAGTACACACGTACGACATCTTGGTCGCTAAACTCTCAAATTAACTACAAAAATAAAAAAGCCATATCACCAAGGTAAATTATCTTCTTTAAGCATACTTGAAAATTCTTACTAAGATTGACACGAAGTAACCTTGCAACTAAGACTTCATTTACACTTTATATATCCTCATATCATCTCGCTAACTAGAATTGATGCTGTGCTTATCTACGTTACTTCTGTTCTGTAAAATTCCACGCTTCGTGATATATAAATTTCATTCGATAAAGTTTCAATAAAAAAACGCGGCTGAGTCTGTTCATTTCACAACAGAATCGATCGCAAAACGGTCGATAACACAATTCAAAACACGATGGGAATGATCAAAGTTTCAAGACCCGGGAGAACACCAAGAGTAACTGGTATAATTTAAGTACCGCACGGCCACACGTATCGAGAGCATGGGCTCGTGCCAAAAACGAAGCATGATCACAGAGGATTCGCTAATGCGTAAAGCGTAAATAGCGGACGCGGTGGTTAACGACCGAGTATAGTCACACCCCTATAGGGCGGACCACGCTCGGTTCCAGGACCTTGAAGCAAAACAGCTTTCAAATCATGGCGGATCAGGTATTGATTCTCGCTGAACGGTCGGAGTAGGCGTCATCATGTGATCGGATGTGAACCCGAGGGTGATCCAAACAGAGTAGTTCCGACTGGAGGTTCCATATATTGGGACGTATTTGAGATTGCTGAGCAGGAGCATTCATTCAGCTCTCCTTGTCCTGGCCGCGAAGCCTATCGAGGCTATCACGGAACGTCTCGCGAACACTGAAGCCGCCGAATAGCCAGTCATTCGAGTGACGACCGTAGTGGTTGACAGTTCCACTGTAACGTTTGTAGTCATCGCTGTTCTTCCGGGTGTGAGTAGATGCGCGCTTAGGGTAGCCCGCCTTCGGCGAACCCATGCTAGCAGACATCTGGGGGCTGACTGAGGTGTAGCCTTGATCCGGGAAGTATGAAGGTTTGCGATTGCGCTGCGGGATATCTCGAGGCTGTGACATTGACATTGTGCCTTGGCCCTTGGGGATATCAATCGGTGCAGGAGACTTGGATCGGAAGAGAATTGAGAGAGGATTGGACAGTTTGGAATGACTCTTCTCAGAGAACTGGGTAGTATGAGAGGAGGTTGAGGTAGTTGATGTTTGGGAGAGCGATCTCTTAGGATAGATGTTGGATTGAGTGTGCATCACTTGGGATATGAAGTAGAGGATGAGAAATAGAAGTCAAGAAGCCTGCGGAAGGGGTTTATTTATGTTCTTTCAGACACCCAAGTAAATTCCCGGTTGGGATATCGGGGACTCCGTAGGGCAACCAACCAAAATGCAGCAAAAAGTACAACCTTCCAAGGTTCTAGTCGCTATGATGTCAAATACGGACAGAGGAATCCGCTCTAGTAGAGACGCAACCAATCAACTTCATGCCACAGGGCTTGGCGACGGACTCCTCAACATCTCCACCAATCACAGTCGAAAGTAGCACGTTGTCAGCTCCACTAGTAAGGTTTAGGGTGGTTGTTTGTTGTCGGTGAGTTTGGAAGGTTCCGGGGGCCAAAGTGCCCTATTGCCCGCCCACCAGCCAATCAACAGTCGTTCCTGCCTTGGAGCCTCCTCTTCCCGCTCCCTGGACCCCGCAGATTCACCGCTTGACAATCTTTTGGCACCTCGGGGCTTGTTTTTCCACTATCCACATCCCACATTCGGACGGACACGTCTACAGTCTGTCCTTTCTGGTCGGTGTGTACATCACCATACACCACTCAAAACCAAAAGTCGTGAGTCTTCCATGTCCGATTCCTCTCGGAGCAGTGAGTTCGTCGTTCCGCCCGGGTGGGTCCTTCCGCGGGGTTAAGATTAATATTAAACAAGAATGCGAAATACGAAGCCTTTATGACTCCGTGCCCCCAACTTCGTTTCTTCGCCAATCATATCAGCATAACCCCCCTTCTAGCGCCCTTCTAGAATGCCGTGCTAACCGAAAAACTCGCCAAGAATGTCTGAGTGAGTCACCTGGTGAGTCCGTCAGCAAAGCTAGTACATAAAAGGATGGTTTAGCTGGGGCTGAGCAATTGGCTTCATGTCCGCTCCAACACGTCAAGGGTGGTATCTCCTCAATACGATGATTCTGGAATAAAGCTGATGACTCCAAAGATCGGAGACTACTAAGAGGGTTAGAAACTTGGAGCAAAAGTACGTCAAGATAAGCAGTTGTCATGCACCCTACCATTTGGGGTATGTCCTTGGCGCCATGCAATGGATGCTCCTCTCTCACCAACCCCCAAACATCTCCAAGTTCAAAGAAGTATAAAGCAACTAAAGAAACGCTTCAATCTGACAGTCACAATACTTTACAAACGCTGCTGCAACGCCGGTTCCCCCTTCTTCTTCTCCTTTCATAGCTCGCAATAAATCATATCTTGGACACGGATGTATCCGCCCCCAGGGCAAGATATACTTTCCCCCATCATCAATTTTTAGATCCCTAGAAAAAGCCGACCAAATTGCAGTATATGCCCCGAACCTCGGGGCATAAAGAAACGGTCCAAGAACAAAAGGAACAAAAGCCTGACTATGGCGCATGATGTTTGTCTTGATATTCCCTGGGTTCTGCACCAGACTTAATATCCCATCTGCACCAATCTGGTTTGCGAGGGCATCTGCCAAAAACCAGTTTCCGATCTTCGTGTTGAGGTAATTTCGTGATTTCTCCGCGTCTTTCTGCAATAGTTCTGCAAGGTCTATCCCAGTCTCGAGCGCGAATGCATCAACGACAATCGATGCTGTCCAGATAACCCTTACACTAGCGACAGGTGTAGCTCCAGCCGTGTGCCGTAGTATCGGTAAAAGAAGTTGAGTGAAGAGATGTGGCCCGAGACAATTAGTTGCGAATTGCAGATCGTGGCCCTGAGACGAAGTCCCCCGAGGAGGGCTGGAGATGCCAGCGTTGTTGAATAAAACATCCAGGCGAGATTCAGCGGCGACAAATCTCTTCACTGCAGGCTTGATGGATGTCAGGTCATCCAGTGATAGAGGGAGAAAAATTATGTTACCCTCTGGGGGGGTCGGGGTACACAAGCTTTTGATCTTCGCAATCGCTTCCAATGCCTTTTCTTCAGACCGACCGGCAAGATAAACTGTTCCTCCTACGCGATAAAGAATTCTGCATATATGGAAGCCAACTCCAGAGTAGCCTCCTGTTACAATGAACACTTTGCCATCCTGGCTGGGGAGATTGACCTCGGTCAGAGTAGGCGGGGGTGGGAAAATCTGCGACCAGATAATTCCCATACTGTTGAACTGGTGATTGAGTGGCTATATCCATGAAATCTGGGGTAGATGCGAAAGAATCAATAGGAGTGGAGAAGAAGTTCAATTTCCCACCGAACCTCTTGCTCCGATATTCACCGAAGAGATACAGATACCACCTCATATGTACAAAGTCCTATATTAAGAACTTTTTGCCCTAACTTTAGAACAATATCGTGTCTGAAATCCTCGAATCATCCTGCTTATACAAAGAACTCTCGTAATATTCGCACAAGCGAATTCAGACTCAGCCGAAACAGAGGCCACTAACTCCGGTATCTCCGACTTGTGCTCTACAGATTGCACCGCCAAACTCTGACTCGGATACTAGGCAATGTGGCAATTCATAAATCAGGATCTGAAACTGTAGTTCACAAGATAATAGACTTCGGCGTACCCCGGATTATCATTCTCGAATGCAACGACGAGTCACCCAGAACCAACCATTGTAGCTTATTCCAGTCGAGTTGGATTCTTGTGGTATGCTTAATTGCAGGGGTATGGGATCTAAAGACTTGCGCTAGGAATCAGTAGGGAATAGTGACCGATCAAGGTAGGAATTCGTATTCGGGATTGATGACCATCGCTTTGTTGCCGGTTTACCTAAATTATACCTTTTATATGATAGCCCACTACATGCGGTGTGATATATCTTGACGCAACCGCATTATTCGCCGGAATCCCACCGTACATTCCACTTTGTACCCAGGGAATAAAAGCACTCTGGTAATATATTGTAGTCAGCAGTGGGGCTCCGCGAAGGATCACACGTCCGTATAGGCTATTGTACAGCCGTAGATTCTAGTGAGAATAGTATCACGATGTCCCCATATTGAGCTGTGCGGGATTTGTCGGTCTCTCCGTCTCACCTTCATACATGTTATCTGTGGGTTCATTGGTAATATGAATAACCAGCCGTCTACCGCAGTTGCGAACAATTTTGTGTAAGCCCTAAGAGGATGTCATCCTAACCTGATGTGGCAAGAGGACGGCAGAGTGTCCCATGACAGCAACGGCCCCACAAGAGACAGACGTTGTAAGTGCTTTAACATATTAGATATTTTAGTCTAAGAGCAACTGCAACATACCTGTAAACCCGTTAAAGAACATCGGGTCTCCTTGAATGAGACATCCGTCTATTCGAAACCAGACAAGAGTCAAATATCCACCATACACCCCACTTGCACACCGGTTTCGTGACTGTACCATGTTGCATCACTAGGCCGGGGCTAAATAATCACGCGAAAAGGATCATTCCCCACTACTATGTAGTAGTTACATGGATGAGTATTACTTAAATAGGCCATGAAGCCGATCTACCTAGTGGGTATAGATAGAGTAGGAATGGAATATCCGGATGTGTGGACTAGACTTCTAATTCGTTGCCTTTTCCTTGTAGTTTCTTTTGTTCTTTTCGTAATTTAGAGATGATGGGAATATATATCTTCGCCCAGGCAACCCAGTGGCTGCTTCGTACACGAGACTCGGTATTATGGATTTAGGTATTTGCCCCGCTCATTTAATCCCCGTAAGAATTCAACTAAACACTTGCGCCACCGGGATCCATTCTGTCTATTTGATTCCACACAGCGGATGCTCATGTCTAGATTGGAGATATCTCAAGCCCCATTTTGAGTTTGACACGTTGTGATATAGCGGGTGATTTTCTCATGCAAGTCTTTCAAGGGGAACCATGATAACCAGAGTAATGGATTCACTCGAAGCGAGAACACCGTTCTAAGTGATTCTCATGACCCAAAGATGAGGTGATGCGAAGTTGGGATGCAAGCTCGAGGTTTGCCAAAGCCCCGGATTAATGCAACTAAACTACAAACTTTGCCTAGATTAAGAGAGATTAACATTTGGTCCGGCTTGGGTTAGCGTATGCGCTAACAGATAGAGGGAAAGTCAGGAAAAGTCTTCCGTGACCAAAGATAGTCGGTGGTAAAATCATCCAATAGAGAGAACGTATAGCGAGTATGCATAAAGAAAATATCAGAGAAAAAGTGGATATAGAGCACCCGAGACTAGTTGATGGATTTGCATTTCTTCCACGTGGTAAAAGAAAATATCTTTCCAGGTTCAGGTACAGCCACAGGCTACCATGAATAACGCCCGAGATTCCCCAGCAAAAAAAAAAAAAAAGGAAGAATGCTATATGTCCTTCAGTCATGCATGCTGCCATGCTGCAATGTCCGCCGTGGAGATATCCAAGTTTTCAGCCGTGAGCCGTTGGAGTCGTGCCACCTGAGTGGGAGCTAGAGTTTGAGTGTCAGCAAGAGTCCGAAACAGGCGAGCAGGAGGGGCTGAACATTGGCCCTGAAGAGAAAAACGCCATGGCGGGAGAGGGGCAGTCAGAAAAGAAGGGAAAAGAAGGGAAGAGGGACCCGCAACAAAGCAAAAACGACCAAAAGCAAGAAAGAGGATTGACCCACTTGGCCGTTGGGCAGCAGCCGCACCGGCGTGCACATGGATTATTGTCGAATCAACATACTCCTTCGTTACAACACCGTTGTACGAAGCCGCGCTAAGCATTACCCGCAGCCGGAACTTGCCTGGCTGCGAGATAGTGAGCGGGCTGAGTTTTGCATATCCGCTCATTGCGTTATCGGTTCGACTCCGCACACTTGCCGTGAGACTCCCACTCAGTCCGGCGGCAGGTCCGGTGCCAGCCTCGTCACGGAGGGAGGCGCTCACGACAAGGTGCTGCACATTTTGTGCGGGTGTCCCGATTGGGTTGACGGCAATGACTACTGGGATTGTGAAGGGAGAACCGGGCTTGGTGGCTGTTGGGGGAGTAGTCTCGAAGGACAGCGTGAATTCATGGCCGGCCATTTTCGTTTTTGTAGACGGTATAGTGCTTTGGAACAGACGAATTGCGTTGG